AAGTAACAGGCATAAAACTGATATTAGTATTATATTTTTAAAAATATCTGTAGTTTCCTTTTTTATTCATATATTTTTGCCTTTTCTCAGTCTTACAAAAATTTTGTCTATTTTGTATTTTTTGAGTAACTAGATTAAAAAAAAAAAAACAAGAAAACTCAGCTTCTGATTTGGTAGACCATCTCTGACTTTGTTTTGTTCTGGGACTTTCATTCATTTCTGCTCTTTGTTATTTTCTGTTTCCTATTATCTTTTTCTGACTTCTTGAATTGAACACTTGGCACATTACTTTTTAGTCTCTTCTATTATATGATTTCAAGGCTATAGGTGTCCCTTTTTTTAATTAAGTTATTATTGATATACACTCTTATGAAGGTTTCACATGAAAATACACTGTGGTTACTACATTCACCCATATTATCATGTCCCCCCATGCCCCATTGCAGTCACCGCCCATCACTATAGTAAGATGCCACAGAATCACTATTTGCCTTCTCTGTGCTACACTGTCTTCCCCATGATCCCACCAAACCATGTGTGCTAATCATAATACCCCTCAATCTCCTTCTCCCTCCCTCCCTACCCACCCTGCCTCAGCCCTCCCCTTTGGTAACCACTAGTCTCTTCTTGGAGTCTGTGAGTCTGCTGCTGTTTTGTTCCTTCAATTTTACTTCATTGTTATGCTCCACAAATGAGGGAAATCATTTGGTACTTGTCTTTCTCCGCCTGGCTTATTTCACTGAGCATAATACCCTCTAGCTCCATTCATGTTGTTGCAAATGGTAGGATTTGTTTCTTTCTTATGGCTGAATAGTATTCCATTGTGTATATGTACCACCTCTTCTTTATCCATTCATCTACAGATGGACACTTAGCTTGCTTCCATATCTTGGCTATTGTAGATAGTGCTGCAATAAACATAGGGGTGCATATATCTTTTTGAATCTGAGATCTTGCTTTCTTTGGGTAAATTCCTAGTACTGGAATTGCTGGGTCAAATGGTATTTCTATTTTAGTTTTTTGAGTAACCTCCGTACTGCTTTCCACAATGGTTGAACTAGTATACATTCCCACCAGCAGTGTAGGAGGGTTCCTCTTTCTCCTCATTCTCGCCAGCATTTGTTGTAAGAATAGACTATAAGAAAAGACTAAGAAGTCTTTTCAATGCTGGCCATCCTAACTGGTGTGAAGTGATACCTCATTGTGTTTTTTATTTACATTTCCCTGATAATTAGTCATGTGGAGCATCTTTTCATGTGCGTGTTGGCCATCTGAATTCTTTGGAGAATTGTCTGTTCATATCCTCTGCCCATTTTTTAATCGGGTTATTTACTTTTTGGTTACTGAGGTGTGTGAGTTCTTTATATATTTTGGATGTTAATCCCTTGTCGGATATGTCATTTACAAATATATTCTCCCATTCTGTAGGATGCCTTTTTGTTCTGTTGATGGTGTCCTTTGCTGTACAGAAGCTTTTTAGCATGATGTAGTCCCATTTGTTCATTTTTTATTTTGTTTCCCTTGCTCGAGGAGATGCATTCAGAAAAAAGTTGCTCATGTTTATATTCAGGAGGTTTTCCTATGTTGTCTTCTAAGAGTTTTATGGTTTCATGACTTACATTCAGGTCTTTGATCCATTTTGAGTTTACTTTTGTCTATGGGGTTAGACAGTGGTCCAGTTTCATTCTCTTGCATATAGCTGTCCAGTTTTGCCAACACCAATTGTTGAAAAGGCTGTCATTTCCCCATTGTATGTCCATGGCTCCTTTATTGTATATTAATTAACCATATATGCTTGTATAGGTTTCCCTTTAAATATCACTTTAGCTGTATCCCACAAAATTTGACTTTAATATTTTAATTATCATTCCATTCTAAATATTTTTAGATTTTCTTTATGATTTGTCCTTTGAGCTATGAATTGTTTAGAATTATTTCAGAATTTCCAGATATGTTAACTTGCATTTTTGATACTGATTTCTAACTTAAGTATATTGTCATTGCATTTCTGACTGATTGCATTGAATAATCAGAGACCATTATATAGTACCAATTCTTTACTGAGACTTGCTGTGTGACCTATTTTGTGGTCAATTTTTGTAAATGAGTTATTGAGACAACTATTAGATGAATGGTTAAGAAAATGCATGTGTGAGTGTATATACAGAAGACAAATAATGATTCTATAGCATCTTACTTCGCTTGAACAACATTATGGTTACTCATTATCTGAACACAACTTACAACTGCAGCCTCACAGTCTTTCAGATGAAGCATCCTCAAATATCTCAACCCAAATTAACAGAACAAGGAGAAACAGACAAATCTGTCCACACAGAGGGAAATTTTTTTTTTTTTACAGTTGCCTCCTTTTATTTTTTTTATTTATTTTTATTTTTATTTTTTTGAGGTGAATTCACAATTATGGATCATTTTATTTATTTATTTTTTGAGAGGGCATCTCTCATATTTATTGATCAAATGGTTGTTAACAACAATAAAATTCTGTATAGGGGACTCAATGCACAATCATTAATCAACCCCAAGCCTAATTCTCAACAGTCTCCAATCTTCTGAAGCATAATGAACAAGTTCTTACATGGTGAACAAGTTCTTACATAGTGAATAAGTTCTTACATGGTGAACAGTGCAAGGGCAGTCATCACAGAAACTTTCAGTTTTGATCACGCATCATGAACTATAAACAATCAGGTCAAATATGATTATTCGTTTGATTTTTATACTTGATTTATATGTGAATCCCACATTTCTCCCTTATTATTATTATTATTTATTTATTTATTTATTTATTTATTTATTTATTTATTTAATAAAATGCTAAAGTGGTAGGTAGATGCAAGATAAAGGTAGAAAACATAGTTTAGTGCTGTAAGAGGGCAAATGTAGATGATCAGGTCTGTGCCTATAGGCTAAGTATTAATCCAAGCTAGAAAAGGGCAGCAAAACATCCACGGATGCAGAAGATTTCCACAGAGGGAAATTTTAATATGATTTTCAAATTATTGATATATTAAGTGTACCAAATATTGGTATGGGTAGAGATAATACAAACATAATGAATGAGCTTAATCTAAAACGCACACACAAACACATGCATTTTTTAAAATTTTGATATTGTTATTGTACAATTACTTGAGCAACATTATGGTTACTAGACTCCTCCTATAAAATATCACTTCAGTGTCATGTTTTTTGAAGTGGAAATTTCTGAACAGGAGGCTGAGGTACTACTTGCTCAATGAAAAAAAAACAAAAACATCTCATTAGGACCACACAAATTTAGAATTGTTGCATCTTCCTGGAACTTGTTCTGATTATCATTTTGTAGTGATCCTCTTAATCTCTCATAATGTGTTAAACTATCTCTAAAAAGTATTTTTAAGAAATCAGATCATTTGATTCCCTAGAGGAGAAATCCTCTCTCTTCAGCTATGGTGAATTTCTCCCCTACTCTGAATATATGATGCATTTATGTCTCTCAATTGCTCGTGGTGTTTCTGATTCCATTCTGCCTGTTTCTGCTTGGTGAACTCTGCCTCATCCCCCATAGTCCCAGCTCAGGTGTTCCTGTTGTACACTTTTTCTCTTTATCCCCCAGATAGCACTAGTTACTCTTCCAGTGTGTGGGTGTTGCTTTTTTCCCACTCCTTTTTTATGGAGGTGAAATTTCTTTTCAGTGAAATGCATAAATCTCTAGAATGTATACAATTAGGTGCTTTTGGTCAATTTGTATACCTTTGTAATCACCACCCTAATCAAGAGATTATTTGTATCAGTCTTGAAAGTACCTTGTGCCCACTTCTGGTCAATCTCCACCCCAGAAGGTCACCACTGTTTTGATTTCTACAATCGTAGATTAGTTTACCTGTTCTTGAACTTTATATAGATGGAATCATACATTATAAACTCTTATGTCTGGCTTCATTCACTCAACCTAATGTTTTTGAGATTTTTTACCTGCTTGTGAGTGTATCTGCAGTTGGTGTTTTTTATTGCTGAGTAGTAATTCATTGTATGAATATACTGCCATATCTTTAGCCATTCTCCTCTTGATGGACTTTTGGATCATTGCAATTTTGGGGCTATTACTAATGCTATAAACATTCTTTACAAGTCTCTGTGGACATTTTTTTATTTCTCTTAAGCAAATACCTTATTGTGGAATGCTCAATTATGAGGTAGGTTGTTTTATGTTTTAACTATATAAGAAACTACCAACAATAATTTACTTATTTTTAATAGCATTTATCACAACAAATTGTGTTTATTGGTTTATGTCTGTCTCTTCCATAGACCAATAGCTCCTCAAAACTAGGACAACTCACATTCTTTAAATTTATACCAGTGCCTACTACAGTGTCTGGCAAGATTTGATGTTCCATGTTGAGTAATTATAGTTATTTGTATTACTTTTGTGGAATTTATCACATGCTGTATTATTGGTTGTGTTCATCTTCTCTATGATTGCAAGCTTCTTAATGAGTAGGAACTTGTTTTTTTCTTGTTTGTGTTTTCCACAATATCTGTTTTGAAAATTGCTTCTGATCTGTGAATGAATAAACCACCAGCCTGTCACCTAGAAGGTGAAGACCCTGGGACAAAAGAACAAGAGAAGCTTGCCTTCTGTCCTTTCTGATTAGGAAAGAGAGAAGGAAAACCAGGCAGAGCATTGGTTACATCTGCTGCTTGAAATTTTGGTGGGGGATGCTCACTGAGACTTCTGGCCTGGGAAGAACATTTTGTACCACAGTGCTTTGTCGAATTTGCCTCCATTCCAGTATTATGTGAGGAAAGGGTTTTTATCATTAATTGGTGTGGCTGGCCCCCAAATAGGTCATGTAGGTAAGTAGATAATTTTTATCAGTGTTGTTTCTTATATGACCCAAAATATGGTTTTCACTTTGCAGGATGTGTTGCTTGTGAAACAGAGGAAATAGATGCAGTATTCGAATATTTGGTATTATGTTCTTGTTTTGTAGTTAAATCCAGATGTGAATGTTTTCCAGAGGAAATTTGTGAATGAAGTCAGAAGATGTGAAGAAATGGATCGAAAGCTTCGTATGTACATTTTGATCTTGTACGCTGTTCATAGAATGAGTTGTTTGTTTAAAATTAAAGACACTAGTCCTCTTAATAAAAGAAGAAAACCTACAGGAGAAAAAGAGTCTTGCAATCCTGATATTAAGATGAATTTATTGTATAAAAGTAGATTTTGTGGCATTTGAGGTAGGTGGTACTAACGGAAACCTTGTTTGGATGACAACCTTCAAGCTAAAGGGACTGGTTCTTCTTTTGTGGGATGGGTTTTATAGCATTATAAATCACTACATTATAGAATTCTGGGAAATGATGTGCAGACCACTATCAATTTTAGATGTCAGGATAGCCACCTTTTAATTTGAGCTTTTTATGACAGAAGAAACTAGCACGTTTATTAAGGTCCTTTTGAGATTTACGGTGTCATACTTGATTTAATTCATTCCCCCCAATATTCCTTCAGATGGGTGTTATCTCATTTAATAAATTGCAAAGCCAAAGATCAGATTAAGTGACTTGACCAAGAACATAAGTGGTCTTGGTGGAATCAGTATTTGAATCCAGGTTGTTCTCTCTGTCTCCAAAACCCATCATCTTGCTACTATATTATACCAGCTTTCAGTTAGGTAATGGGTGAATTTGGCCCCCATTCTAAGAAAAGTCAGTTTTTGTCATCTGAAATACTTCTCTTTTCTCATGTTTTGGAGCCTTATTCCATGTCTTGCTTTTTTTTTTTTTTTGATTTACAAATCTCCATGCATTTTTTTTTATTAAGGTTTCATTGATATACAATCTTACGAAGATTTCACATGAGCAACATTGTGGTTACAACATTCACCCATACTATCAAGTTCCCCCCACACACCCCATTACAGACACTGTCCATCAGCATAGTAAGATGCTATAGAATCACTACTTGTGTTCTCTGTGCTGTACTGTCTTCCCTGTGACGCCCCCCTACATTATGTGTGCTAATCATAATGTTCCTTAATCTCCTTCTCCCTCCCTCCCCACTAGTCTCTCTTCTTCGAGTCTGTAAGTCTGCTGCTGTTTTGTTCCTTCAGTTTTGCTTTGTTGTTATACTCCACATATGAGTGAAATCATTTGGTACTTGTCTTTCTCTGCCTGGCTTATTTCACTGAACTTAATACCCTCTAGCTCCATCCATGTTGTTGCAAATGATAGGATTTGTTTCTTTCTTATGGCTGAATAGTATTCCATTGTGTATATGTACCACGTCTTCTTTATCCATTCATATAATGATGGACACTTAGGTTGCTTCCATATCTTGGCTATTGTAAATAGTGCTGCGATAAACAGGGATGCATGTGTCTTTTTGAATCTGGGATCTTGTTTTCTTTGGGTAAATTCCCAGAAGTGGAATTCCTGGGTCAAATGGTATTTCTATTTTTAGTTTTTTGAAGAACCTCCATACTGCTTTCCACAGTGATTGAATTAATTTATATTACCACCAAGAGGGTAGGATGATTCCCCTTTCTCTGCATCCTCGCCAGCATTTGTTTTCTTGTCTTTGGATGTTGGCCATCCTAACTGGTGTGAGGTTGCTTTTCGTTTTGTTTTGTTTTGTTTTGCTTAAAGCTGACCTGACTGCTTTCCAGTTTAACAAAAATGCTTTGGATCTGCAGTTATGTTAATGGTGTGCTGAATGTCAAATTATGTATTGAATTGCACTTTTCTGTGGCTCTGCCAACAACATCTGTAACCAGAACCGTCATAACTCTGAAATATTAGTTGTACAGGGTGGAAAGCTGAAGCAGATGAGGACCAGTTTTAAGGTCAGACGAGAAAAAAGTGGAATGACAACCCTCTTTGGGGTAGCGTTGCTGTAGAGGGTGTGGGCTAGGAGGGAGAGAAATGTGGCAAAAAAAAGATTTGCATGTTCTACATCTGTGTGAGTGTACCTTTCTTAGAATGAAACTCTTTTTGGTCAGGTTTTGTGTCCTACTATTTTTTTCCTCAAGTATTGGCAATTCCAGGCATGTGCTATGCATTAATGTTTTGATTTTGTCATTTTAGGATTTGTTGAGAAAGAGATAAGAAAAGCTAATATCCCAATTATGGACACTGGTGAAAACCCAGAGGTGCCCTTCCCCCGGGACATGATTGACCTAGAGGTAAACAACTCTTCTGAGAAGTCAAGCTAAGTTTCTTTCTAAACACAGAAAGTACTCTCCTGAGTGAATGGAAGATGGAGTAATTCTCCCTGTCCTTGTCAGCATCATCTACTGATTGCAAGTTCTTGTTGGTGGGATTAAAATGAATTTCATTTTTTATGGTATAGAACAGTATCTTGAACAGTGTCACATACCACTAAATAAATATTTATTGGCTTACTGAAACCTTACTGGGTTAATGTCAGTTTATCTAGTAATTTATGAATCTCACATACTAAATGTGAATGGCCAGTGGACTTTTTGGTATTCATTTTACCCATCAGAAGTTTCCTGAAAAATTCAACCAAATGTATAACAGAATCTATAGACAAAGAAAGACAATTTTAAGCAAAAAAATTTCCATAAAGAAAATTGCACAGGTAAAGTCACATGTTTGCTTGGTAGATATAGATATAAGATCTCTTTGAACCATCAAGATGGAAAGAGTTCTGTGGGATGGATGAATTCATCTGTCTTGCAGAGCAAGCATATTGAGCTTAGTTTGAGTTAATAGTTTGATTTTTTTTTTTGTCTGTAGGCCAATTTTGAGAAGATTGAAAATGAGCTGAAGGAAATCAACACAAACCAGGAAGCTCTGAAGAGAAATTTCCTGGAACTGACTGAATTAAAATTTATACTTCGCAAAACTCAGCAGTTTTTTGATGAGGTCAGACTATTGTTTCTTCTAGTATTTGAGCAGCTGCTATTACCTGCACAATTGGGCCATATTTTTATTCCAATAATTATTTTAATTTGCTAGTTTGAAAGCAGTACCATTTTCACACTCCATTTCAGTTGAAGAAATGTCGATTGTGTTCCATTTTTCATGTAATACATGGTTTTGCATACTTTTGCATTTTCCGCGATTTTCATCCCAAGATGGGAAAGGAACCCTAAAGTAGTTGTGCATACACAGTTAGTTGAAATTTTCACATTGTATTTTAAGGTAAGTATATGCTTAAGGTTTAAGTTGAAACAAGAAATATTTGGTCATACATGGAATTATAACAAAGGTTTCGTCTCCAAACCTTTTGTCATCAGATTTTAATTTTCATTTTATTCCCTATGTTTGCTTATCAACCTTTGAACCCATTTTAACTACTTCAGATACCACATGTCATACTTTAATTTTTTAAGAGTTTTTCTTTATGTTGTATGGAAGTACTGGTAGGGTGCCTATTTGAAATTTCTGGATTTTCACATAAACTCAATTGCATTAAAATTGGGGAAATTGTTAATAAGTTCCTGGGTTAAGTTCTAGGTGACTTAAGTTGCCAGATGACAGTTTGCTGAGGTGACCCTATGGAAAGAATTTGGAGCAAGGCTTTTTGAGGGCTTTCTTTTCCTGATTAAACCTGAGGAGTTTTATCTTTCAGCCTGGACATGCTTTTCCAATGGCCTAAAATATGGGTAGCTCTTTTTTACAGGTATCTTTGCCACTAGGTTAGCAACATCAGACACTTCAGAGTTTGTTCCAGTCACTCTTATGTGTACCTCCCGTAAAACTATTTCCCTTACTCAACAACAACAAAATGTGGCAAAGCTCTTAAAAAATAGAGGGCCCATTTTAGTTAGTATCTGATGTATTCTCAGTTCTACTTTGAATTTCTGTCTTTTGGGGACAGAACAACTCTCCATAGTTCTCTAGACTGGAGCAGGACTTCTTCACTCAGCAGCCTTAGTCTCACCTGGGAACTTGTTTCAGGGCAAATTACCAGTCCCACCCCAGACTCACTGAATCAGCAGCTCTCAAGGTGAGGCCCAGCAGTGTGTTTTCACAAGGTGATTCTGAGGCACACTTGTTTGAGAACCACTGGGCTAGAAAAAGTCAGCTGAAGAGGTGACACATTCCTCAGTGACTAAGTATTGACTCAGAGAAGCAATGCTAATTAAAAAAATCTTTTTGACGGGAGGGAGCAGGGAAAGCGTATATGAATTTAATTGCCTGGTCTTCCCAAAAATGAGACTCTGACTATATATCAAGAGAGGTTTGGTGTGAATATTCAGCTTGCTCACTGAGTTAAGAATTTTGAGACTGATGGTAACTTCTTTCACCAGTCACCGATATCATCACCTTATATGATGTGGGATAATGTGATTAACTCTTTCCAAGTGTTTCAGATCTTTTGCAACAGGCATGGCCACTTATGCCATATGGTTTTAATGAACAGATAATCTGCCTAAACATTATGGTATTTATATTCATTAATCCACTGAACATCTAACAAGCACCTACTCTTTGTTCGGCCCAAGTTGAATAAAGAGATGGTCCTCGTGCTCAATTACTTCGTCATACCAGCACAAGTCCCCTAACAGTTCCGCCATACATTCATGGGCGTGTGCTTTTCTAAGTGTATCCAAGCTGCTGCCTGTAGAGCCAGTGTAAACCTGACCTCAAGAGCAAAGTCCAGCGACTTTTAGCATCATTTGGGGCTTAATTCTTTTGCTCACCCCACCTTTTTAAACCCTTTGGATGTAGTCTTTAGTTTACTACTGGGATGTGGCTGAAACATGAAAATAAATGTCTTTCATAACTTCCCAGGTTTAAGGATCTGAATAGGCTTCCTATTTTAGTTGCTAAATAAAGACTGACAAATGGATTCCCTTAAAGGAAATAGTTATTTAAACTGTTAAAATAAATTTTTTAAAATAGTTAAAATAAAAGCAAGAGAAACCACTTAGAAAGATGGTATAAAGATTTTAAAATCATAAATTATGGATTTAGGGATTTTCTTTGTGATTAATAAGTCTAAACATGAAATGCCTGTGCTGAGAAAGCAGGCTTAATGTCTTCATGACCTTCATGCCCAATCCAAGGTGGGTTGTTTTCTCCTTCCTGTGCATGCAAAACTTTATTTTTAATCTTTGGAAGTACAGTTGAGCATGAGTCCTTGGCTATGAGTGGTCCTCCTGCGGCTTTTGTCCTTAGCCCCTCTCACTTCTAGCCCCCCCATCACAGTGCAGGGAGTCTTTTGGTGAGAACCGCTCTGCCTTTTCCTTTGCACAGTCTGCTTTTGCCTGTAGCTCGGAGCCTCAGCCAGCCCTTGCCCTGCCACTGAACAGCAGCCTCAGGTGTCGCTGCCATGATAAGAGACAAGAGCTCAGAATAAGTGTCTGCACATGCCAGCACATACTTCAAATAATGCAAAAGATAAGCTTGAGACCTCAAATCTTGGAAATGTAGGTTTTTCATGAGATTTTCTTCCATGCCTGCAATTACAATATTTGCAAATGGCCTGAAACACTACCAATTTCATACCCTTCTTTTTTCTATGATTTGATCAATACTTTATTATAATGAGTTATCAGAAAATGGCTAATCGGAAAACAGTCTTTCCATCTTAAGGCATAGGGGTTATAATTGGCTAGGTGTGCAGAAGGGGAAAAATAAACATATATTGAATATTCTCATGATTTAAGATGATTACAAATTGGACTTAGCCATTTCTTATCCAGAGCATTTAAAATGACTTGTTAATGATTATCCTTTTCTCAGTCTTCTTGTTTTTGAAGAAGTGTAAGAGCCGGAGAGCTTTCTCTGCATCTTTTACCATAAGCATCATAACATATGAGAACATAAAGAAGACTGGAAAAGTAATGGTTAATGGCATGCAGATCCCTGCCTTCCTATCCTTCTGAGTTTTCCATCCATCTGCTTTCTTTACTTTTCTTTACCATCTGTCATCTCCTTTGGGGCTTGGATGAATACCTTAGGTGATGAAATATAATTTCTTTCTCACTGTTAAGTGGAAGTAAAATGTTGCTTTTGGTACTTAATGTAGCTGGAACTGGATGTGTTCCTTATACTGTAAGTGTAGCAATAGACCTACTGAAGTTCTGCTGCTTCCTTTTTCAAAGCATGGGCTCAGTGTTCTGAAGGATGGGGGTCAGACCAAGAGCACAGCAGATGACTTGGAGGAAGGTCGGCTCTCATTAGAGAATTAGTTTCTCATTAGAGAGCCCAGATCCAAATAAGGATTTAGCTGCTACTTGGCGTAGTTTCGGAGATTGCTTTAAAGGCCCTCAGTGGTGGTTCTGGTCATCAAGGTTTCCCGTCAGGCACAATTATTTTATTTAAACATTTTTAACCTTCTTCTCTAAGACTTAGGATCCTAAAGTGTGAAGTAGTACAGTTAATTAATTAGGGTATTATTGCAAGTTTATATAATTTTAATTGTTTTTTTCGGACAGTCCCAGATACAGTCTTTGGAGCAATCTGTTTGCTAAGCACTATTTGCTGTTCCATTAGTTGTCCCCCTTAGAGCACATGTCTGCGCCAAGTCTGACCTTCAGGGCTTACTTAAACCAGGCCTTGTGAACTGCGCAGGGATGTATGCAGGAGTCTTATGAGTAGCCAGTCAGTTCCTCTGGTTTTTGGTCAGAGACATCCCAAAAGCAAGTTGAAAAGCAGCTGTAGTTGTCTGGATCCTCAAAACAAGTTGCCTGTGGCTTGCCATCTGCTCATTTGATTTTAAGTAGCAATTAAAAAAGCCCCCTGAACTTCCATTTGAAAACAAGTGGTAACCTGTGCCCCCATTACCTCATCTTAAACTTATCCAAATCTCATGACAGAATGTCTCTGCCCTCTGGTGTACCCAATGCCTGCCCTTCATTTTTTTTTTTCCTCTTTTTTTTTTTCCTTGATCGAAGTTGATCGTGCTTTTAGAATTTACTTCCCAAAACAATTGCTTTCACTTTTTTAGGCTTTCTGGTTTATACTCAGTTCCTCCCCAACCCTTTTGACTTTATACTTAATGATCCTATAACTTTATCCAGTGAGGTTCCCTTGTGGCATTTTTTGATAGCAGGATTGACAGGAATAGGATCAAGTTGGAATTTGGAATGGAAATCATAGAGAAGACTTCTCCTGACTTTTTGTTTAATTTTGCTTTGGAAAGGAAGACTGTTCTGCTTACTTCTAGTCTTTGTTCAAACAAGTAGTGCATGGATATTAAAATTGGGGAGATCAGGAAGTGCAAAAGTCAGTTCACCTTTAATTTTTATGGCAGCTTCTTCCTAGTGAGAGCAAAAGGTGGTAGGATGAGGGAGAGAGACTAGGAAATACAGACCTACATCTGAGAGGTCCCTTTTCTCTTTCATTTCATTGTATAAACTGTCATGGTGGAAATCATTTTAAATCTAAACAATTAAACTAGCCCACACGTCTATATTGACTTATTGTATGTTCCTGGCTTAAGAATCTTTAAACTGTAAAGCCTACATGCACTTAATATTCCTAGATTCCTGGTCAGAAATGGGACACTCAGATAATGGTTCCACTTTTTCTTCCCTTTGTGGGTACAGTGGAGGCCTGCTCAGCCGCTCTGCTTCTTATCCTTTTGGAGAAAGGAATATTATTTAAATCCCATGGTTTGGAGCATTTTATATAGTGGCCATGCTGCAAGTTCTCATGTTCTGAGTTTTTTAAGAGCATGGAAAACCAAGATATCTGGAGATACCCCTCTGTCTTTCTCCAGATCACACTGTTCAAGACAGCGATGGTGCCTTGCTTTCTTCCTTGGAAGGAGAGTCTCCATCTTTCACATTCTCACACAGGGAAAATTGTAGTCGGTGGCTGCCTAGAAATTTGATGTTTGGGTTATCTCCAGAGCTGCCTTGTTTTTTGCTCAAAAGGAAGAAACACTTCAGCTTCTATCTGCATGCAAAGGTATTTCCTGGTACTTTCAATGGCTCATTCGAGAAACATAGGAGAAAAAAATGGCTTCCACCAATTAACAGATTTATACATGTCACCATCATCTAATGTTTTCTCTTTATTCCTTATTTCTAAAACTGTTTCCCCAGGTGCTTCACTGGGGGTAATTATGCTGTCTTTATCTCATGTTTCTTTCCTTTGTTTTCTTATTATTTTTGTGGGTATGTCTTCTCTTTTGATAGTTTCTTTCATCTTTATTTTCTGAACTTATCTCCTGGTTCCTCGTTCCCTGCATGCCACTAACTATTTTCATTAGATATTAATTGATTTGTGAATTCAGGCTGAATTGCATCATCAGCAGATGGCGGATCCAGACCTGTTGGAAGAGTCCTCGTCCCTCTTGGAGCCAAGTGAGATGGGAAGAGGCACACCTTTAAGACTTGGGTAAGTTCCAGTCAGACCTCCAGCTCAGTGGGCTCATGTTCATTTTTGCTGTTCAAACGAGCAGCGAGGCAGGGCATTCACTTGTTTCTAGAATGTGCTCTTTTCTGAGTCTGCTGAGAGGTGCTCCTCAGTCACTTTGGATACAGGTCCTGAGCTGTGCGGTCGGCCCTGTGCTGGGTCCGAGAATATGACCTGGGCAGCCCTTTTGACTTAACGATGCATAGCTTCATGTTTGTCATTTTGCTGTCTCCTCTCACTTTCCTTTGTCTTGAAGCCTTCCATCCCGTGGCGTGGAATAGAGTCCCCACTCTGGCTCTTCTTCCCACAGCTTCGTGGCTGGTGTGATTAACCGGGAGCGCATCCCTACTTTTGAGCGCATGCTTTGGCGGGTGTGCCGGGGGAATGTGTTCCTGCGGCAGGCTGAAATCGAGAACCCGCTGGAGGATCCTGTGACTGTAAGACAAGGAAATTGTGTCCTGTAGCATAGATCTTGCAAAGGGAGCTCAAAGTGTAAGACACCGTGGTGCCACCTGAGTCTGACCCTCCTGCAGAGGAGCTCTTCTGTTTACCCCTGCTTTGATCTGCAAATTTGAAGGACTGCTCTTTTTCTTAATTTCTATCACATGTTTACATCCAATGTGTACATGACAGATACATATACACATTTTCAAGCTCTACCCATGTAGGTCTTTTTTATTGTAAATATATTTTCTCCAGTTATTTTAAACTTTAGCTTAAATGTTTTCTATTATCTCAGACCAAAAGAAACTTAACTTTCTATGAAAGTGAACTTAAAGCAAGATATCTGATTCCAAGTTTGGTAATAATCCACATGTAAGAAGAGGAGAGAGTTCCTAAATTGTGATTTCAATAAGCTGATGCAATTTTAGTTGCTAAAGTTTTTTTGTCTCTTTGTTGAAAGGTTTAGAAACTTAGTTTATATATTGTGCAACATAGGCTAATCTTCCCCATCTAATGCTTTGGCAAGTAGGAACAGATTAACATCTTGGCATTTGACATAATGGGACAGAGTTCTTAACATAAACCTATATTAAGTATCATGAGTCCTGATTTCAGGAATTATAAACAAAGAAGATTAAATGTTCTGCAAAAATTTACTTTACTTTTATATTAGTGTTATTTAGAAGCCCAGAGTTATTTTTTCTGTTTTAAATAATCTTTTGGGTTTCTTAAGTTAGTATTCTTTGCTTTACCCAAGAAAAGAGATTGAATTACGGAATTTATGAGAATGGGATGGTCACATAGCTAAAAATGATCTAGATACATAAAAGGCTTTCATCCTTGGCCCTGAGTAGGAATATGGTTACACTTAGATTACAGTGAGTCCCCTTACCCAGAGGAGCAGTTTTATAGTCTCACTGAAGGCTGCCCTTGATGTTGCAGTCTGCAGTCACACCTAATGTGGATCTGTTCTCAGGAATGTTCAGCCAGGTTTCTGGGCAACAGAAACATTTTATCAACAAATTGAGGAAGGAGGGTTCTGGATAGCTCCAACAGAGCAGCTGCATGAAGAGTGTGCTCCAGTTTATTCCTAAATAATTTAGGAATTTAAGATTCTCAAGTCTCATTTTCTTCACTTCTCGTCTTTTATCTGTCTAAAGTTTTGTTTGATTTCTTACTATCAAAGCTCTTTTGGAATATGAGAAAATATAGGCATCCAGAGATTGTATAAACTGTCATGGTGGAAATCATTTTAAATCTAAACAATTAAACTAGCCCACACGTCTATATTGACTTATTGTATGTTCCTGGCTTAAGAATCTTTAAACTGTAAAGCCTACATGCACTTAATATTCCTAGATTCCTGGTCAGAAATATTTCCAAACACCCAGTATAGCTTATTTCTCTGATTTTTACCTCCAGCCCTCCCATCAGACTTCAGGTATCAGCTTGGTGTTTGGAATGGATTGCCTTCCTTCTGCCCCTAAAGTCTAAAGTGGCATGAATCCTGATAATATGTATCCATGTTCTTCCCAGTCTCTTTAGTTCCTTGTAGTAGTCAGTCCCCTTTATCTGGGAATTGTAAGCATGGGAACAGACAGGAATGGCTTCCTTCTCTTTCCTCTCCTCTGTATTTATGTCATTAGGGCAACAGGAGATTTAAAGTTAAATGGTAAATAGGGCTAAATTGTGCAAAGAAGAGAATCTTAGCATGTGTCAAGCTCTGAGTTGAGTTTAAAAACAAATACAGTAAGTTTTTTGTGAATTAGAGATTACAGGCCAAATTTTCTTATAGTAGAGCTTAAAAATAAAATGCATCGGATATAGTGGTTAAACTCCAGGACTGCCATGGCCATAAAGGATTCCTGTTGCTCTTATCATCATGAAAATAAGATATTTAAGCAGTTTTTTTTCCAGATTAGAAGACTGAACTCTTGATTTTGGTTTGGGGCCTAGGGTGACTACGTACACAAGTCTGTGTTCATCATTTTCTTCCAAGGCGATCAGCTGAAAAACAGAGTCAAGAAAATCTGTGAAGGGTAAGAAATGTGCCTCACCAGCAGGTGTAGCCCATGCTGCCTAAGGATTAAGCCCTAAAATATAGAATAGTGAGACACAAAACCCTTTTAGTTTATCTTGACAACATGAATATATCTTTCAGTAATGTTAGGACTATTTTAAACAATTAGAAATGACCTAAGTTCATTTTTTTAAAGTACTATCAAAACCACAATTTCCTTTCCTTGAAAAATAGTCTTGGGGACTCATAGTTTACAAAGGCCGCATTGTTCTGGGACAGTGGGTCTGCATAACCAGCAGTGTGCCATAGGCACTGTGCCCTTAAACTTTTCTGAAATTCTTCCCATGAGATCTGTTCTCCATGCCGTTTTTCTCAAGTAATTTATAATATAATTTATATTAATTTTTTTTAATCTAGGGGAATTTAATAGCTACAGAGAATATCAAACTAGATCGAATATTACTGCTCTATCTTTAGGCCACTTCCCATTAATAATAATCATGGATTAGAGCATCAGTCTGAACTAATCCTGTTTTGGTCCTTCTAGTAAGTTAGGATTACTTTCTGAGATTATTCAAATTGGGTAGGTTAAGAAATTTCAATGTTCCTCAGTCTGCATCTGTATATTCCAGGTTCCGGGCCTCACTTTATCCTTGTCCTGAAACCCCACAGGAGAGGAAGGAAATGGCTTCTGGAGTCAATACCAGGATTGATGATCTCCAAATGGTACACAGAAGGCTGGAGGGAGTTTGTTTTCATGAAATACTACAATAGCAATCCATTTTCCTTCCTTGAAACACTAACAGTTAGCTTATTAGGCACATGAAGTGGCCCAGGATACCAAAAAAAAGAAATGTCCCTGGTAATATGTCCCACCGGGAGCTTGGGAAAAATTTCAGGGAATGACTGTGAAAAATAGCATTAATTATCCTCAGAAAAAAGGAATACTATGCATCTGAAATTTTTGTTGCTTGGAATATTCAGTTTCCTTCCTCGTGAGTCTATTTTTTATGATTTAAAAAAGTATGCTTAGGGGAAAAAACAAATAATTCACAGTATTTATAAAGTCAGTTCCTCCTTCACCTGCATTCTGTGCCCAGAGGCGGCCTTGGATCTTAATCACCAGTCTAGCCAAAGAGTCCTGGTGGAAGTCTTGTACCCAAGAAGAGACTGCAGTAAGATTTTACCAAATTGCATTGTGTGTGGTTTACATACATTGTGGTTATCACAAGGTTCTAAGAAAGGCACCATGATTTATGTATGCATGGAAGGAAAGGGTGGCCAGTGGGAGTTTTGTTCCCTGTTGAAAGAATACGATGATTGCCCCCTTGAAATATTAATAAACATACACTAGTCCCTCTTATCACAGTTTCACTTTTTGAGGTTTCAGTTATCCACGGCCAACTTGGTCAGAAGCAGATGATCCTCCTTCTGACGTAGGGTCGGGAGGGCAATAGTAGCCTAACGCTGCATCACCATGCCTATGTCATCCTTCCACCTTTCATCATGTAGGCCTTTTAACATCCCACATCATCGCAAGAAGAAAAGTGAGTACAGTGTAGTAAGTTACTTTGAGAGAGAGACCACATTCCCGTAACTTTTTTTTACAGTATATTATTGTAATTGTTCTGTTTACTATTAGTTGTTGTTAATCTCTTACTGTACCTACTTCATGAATTAAACTTTATCATAGGAATGTATGTATAGGAAAAAATATAATATATGTAGGGTTCAGTACTATTCACTGTTTCAGGCATCCACTGGGGATCTTGGAACATATCCCCCACAGATGTAGGGGGACCACTGTACTTAATCCCAAATGCAGTTCTTTCTGTCTGTGGCAGAATTGTCAGAGATAGGCGTAACTCCCATTTTAGTTTCCTTTCCCATCTTTCCTTCCACCCCTCTTTGTATATGACCCACCAGCTTGACCTATTGTGGGCTTCTTTGAGAAACATGGACCTGTTTAAGGGAAGAGAGTTTTTTAGAACTGCCGGTGGGTGGTAGGCTGTATTCATATATTCCAGATTCCAGGACTATCTTATCGCCTCCCAGGCTTATGGATAGATTTTAAAAAGCATGTGCAATATGGCCAGAATTTGACTTTCGAAACACCCAGCCATGTGAACTGAAACTTTAAAAAGGGATTGAATACGAAGGAGTAAAATGTGGGTTTGGCAAATGGGGAAAGAGAAAAGCAAATAGAATATTGCTTGCAAGTTTATTTAGCATCCTTCCAGAAGTTTTAATAGTAATTGTGAAATTGTCAACAGCTAGAAAGAGAAAAAGTAGCTTTGTTTCTTTATTCTCAAGTGATACCAGCATTCCCTAGCATGCCCTGGCTTTTTTTTTTTAAACCACTCTGTGGAAGTTACCTTCTACTGCCCAAACTTCCCAAGGCAGTTTTTCGGGGAGTAGCTACCACTATTTTTCTAAACTGACTTGAAGAGCCAACTATGATGGAGATTTGGGCTAAGAACATGGTTGTTACATGGCTTTCTCTCCTCCAAGAAATGTGGGGATTCAAGATAGATTTTCATGCAGAAGTATGATTGGTGGGTTGCTTGCCCAGTTTTGGCATAGTCTCTCTTCTGCTATTGAAATCTTAAATATTTGGCAGTAAACAAGCAGTACAATGTAAAGTATTCCTGCCCCTTACCCCCATGCTAGTCTTGGCACTGTGATTCCTATGAGGGAAATCTGCACTGGTTTCCAGAAATCAGCACTGAAACTTTCTCGCTCCAAGAAGTCTGATGGAAAGATAAAGGCTTATCTGCCCTGTGATGACAGTGGTATGTGGTAGTGTAAATCCCCTGCAGAGGCCGTGGGGCCTCCTGACCGCACAGTGTCTCCCTTTTCCGGGCAGGAGGTGTCTCTTGGCACAGGCAGATGATGGTGTTCAGCTCTGGCTCTTGCCCCCAGGCCCTGGCGCTGCCTTGTGTTCAGGGGATTCTGCAGCTTGCTGTTCTTAAGTATGGATTTGTTGGCTTTGCCAGCTCCCAGGCCTGTGGAGCTGACTTCTCTGAGTCTGAGTTACAGACTCCACGTGGAAAGTCATTGTTCTTTAATGATTCAAGTAAAAGCCAGTGACCTGCACTGGTGTGCTGTAGATTTAGTGGTGAGATTAAATATAGAAAAGCTAAAAGCCATTTCTTCAGGTTTCTTTTCATCTTGAAACTAAATGAAAATGAATGCTAGTAACTAGAACTCTAATTTCATTTGGCCAGGAAAAAAAGCCATTCTAGTTAGAGGAAGAAAAAAACAGATGCCTAGCAACCCTTCTCAGAAAGCTGTGCCTCTTTGCCATTCATACCCTGAGTCCCAAGACTGGTGTTAGAAGGATCGCTCTCTTGTTCCTTTCTCTCCCAAAAGGTCCTGAATCAAACAGAGGATCACCGCCAGAGGGTTCTGCAGGCAGCTGCTAAGAACATCCGTGTCTGGTTCATCAAGGTGCGGAAGATGAAGGCCATCTACCACACACTGAACCTTTGCAACATAGATGTGACCCAGAAGTGCCTGATTGCCGAGGTCTGGTGCCCTGTCACCGACCTGGACTCTATCCAGTTTGCACTCCGAAGGGGCACGGTGAGTCCCCCGAGCTAGCTATGCAGCCTGCGGACCAAGGAGAGAGGTTCCCATCAATAGTAGCTTTAATCGCACGTTGGTGGCATTTTCTCTTTCAGAGTTCTTTAATATCCTCCTGTACTCATCCTGTATCCTGACACTCTATTTTGTATATCCTTATTTTCTGAATGTGGAAACTGCAGCTCAAGAGATCAGATGACATGATCAAATGCCCACTATTCTTCAGGGTAGCTCCTGACCAGAGTGTCAAGTTCCTGATCCATTTTCTCTCCCTGGCAGATCTGTTTAGTAGTTAGAGCTACTGCTCTTTCCAGGGCTCTGGTCTAGGGTCCAAGAGGTTCAAAGATGTAAAAAAGTGCCCTCAAGTATTTTATGATTCACTTGGAGAGGTTGCCACGCAAACATATAAGACAGTCTGTGCTTAAAGTAAGTGGTATATGTGTGTGAAGGGAGAGTGTTAGCTTTTCCAATTAGAATGATTGGAAAAAAGTTTCAAGAAGGTGGCATTTAACCTGAGCCTTGAAGGATGGATAAGATGCCTACAGCAATGACGAGAAGACCACAACATGGAGAAAGGCAGGAAGTGAGGGGTGTGACTGTGTGGTTGGCAAGAACAGGAGTCATAATGGGTGCGCAGAAAGAGTGGGGGTATATACCTACACCAGGTGGATTGGAACCTCACTGTGAAGGGTTTTTAAATAACACAGTAGAGGGTTTAAATTTTATTCCAGGAGTAGAGAGGCATTGGAAGTTATTTAGCAGTGAAAGGACATGATCAAAACAGAGTTCTAAAAGAATAATCTATTGTTAAGTATCTGTGTTGGGCTGGGAAATAGAATGAGCCAAAAAGGGGTGGGGGGGGTTCAGTGAGGAGGTTATTGTATACGTAATAGTAAAGACACAAAGAAAGACCCCTATAGTAAGACTTGACAATGGGAATAGAAAATGATGAAGAGTGTGAGACATGCTGTGAGAGAATCAATCAATGTTTGGTTTCTAGCAACACACAAGAGAAAAGGAGAAAAATTTCAAGATGTTCCTGAAGTATCAAAGCTGAGTGGCCTGCAGAATAATGGTCCCACTGATGGAAGTAAAAGTTCAGCAAGAGAAACTTAGTGATGGGGAAAGATGGCAAGTTCGGTTTCGGTTAGATCGAGCAGCTGGATGTAAATCCATGTGGAAACATCAAGCAGATAATAGACAGGTTCTTGATAGAAAGGGCAAAATGAAGGAAATAGGATCTGTGAGGGTGGAAGGGAATGAGACCTCCAGGAGAGAATAAGGAAGCTAAAGATAGACTCTTGGGGGCCCTGCAACTTTAAGGGATAGGCAAAGGAGGAAAGGCCAGCAAAGAGACAGAGGAGGGGGAGAATCCCATAACGAAGGATTTTTACCAAGGAAGGGGGAGGTCTCCAGTGTCAGGGCTGCATACAGGAGAAAAGACCTGGTTCTGGTGAAGTGCCAGCCACTTTGAATAAGCGTACTCAGCCAGATTGTAAGGGATTAGGGAGACAGAATGGGTGGGGAAGGAGGAGAGTCAGAGAGTACACTTTGATTTCTCCATAAGATGAAGAAAGAACAATAGTAACTCTCAGAAAGGCAGATGAGGCTGTTTCCTAAAACAAGTTCTAGATTTTCTTTGGTTACACATTTTAGAATTAAATGTTTTTTGCAGTAAAGACACTCTTTCTGAGACTTAATTTAAATCTTTCATTCAAATTGTATACCTAGTTCCAGTTTCCCCAAAGAATGGGAAAGATTGAGACAGAATTTACATAAGATACACATATTTTATGGGTACAGCTCAGTGAGTTCTGATGAATACATACACCTGTGTAACCACTGCCACAATTAGGAGGATGACCATGTTTTGACATATGCACTTAATGTTTCCCAGGAACACAGTGGTTCCACGGTGCCCTCCATTCTGAACAGGATGCAGACAAACCAGACTCCCCCAACTTACAACAAAACTAACAAGTTCACATATGGCTTTCAGAACATAGTAGATGCTTATGGAATTGGAACTTATCGTGAGATAAATCCAGGTAAAAAAAACAGCCTGAATCTTTTCCCTCCAGAGGTTTATTTTTTGTTTGTTACTTCTTTTAATGCCTCGCTTTAAATGCGGCTGAATAGTTCCCTTAAAACTAAAGATGTTGTCAAGACCTCAGTTCTCGGTAATTCCTGTGAAGAGGTACCCTTTCTGACATAGGGAGTGTGGTCTGTCCTGGGTGGCACTCCTTTAGGAGCTGGATTTTAGGAATTTTATAGAAGTGAGCTCGATGGGTTGGATTCTTCTGTGAGTCCTCACAGGTGTAAACACCTGGCTTTCTCTAGCACACAATTTTCAGAAACTGCTTTTTAAAAAAAAGGTTTTTTACAAGTTATCTGATATTTTAAAATGGCTTCCCTGTTCCAGGTTAGAGAAAATACAGCAAGTTATTGACCATTTTAGGCACTAGGCAAATTTCTCCTTTGTTTAGAGAGTTATTAAATCAAGAGTCTGAAAATTTATTTTCAGCTGGAGCCTTCTGCAGGGCCTGTGTTGTTCCATGTTCCACCCTTTCTCTGACTTACCGAGAGCTTGTCCAGCTGGGAGGTAGTTGCTGCACAAGAGAAGAGAGCTGGCCTTCCCCAGGAGCTGCATCCTAGGGGTTAGAAAAAAGAAGTTAAAGAACAAACCACACTGTTGACAAAGCTAGAGACAAAGTTTCATTTCCTGTGTTTTGCTTGAAATGCTAGTGGTAGCTCAGATGCCATCAGAGCTTTGTGAGGGTGGCAGATCCTGCCATGGAAGATTTTCCCAGGGAGTCCATCTGACCAGTAGCTTGAGAATAAGTCACTTTACGTTGGTCTTAGAGTGGGAGAGGAGTGTGGTGTGTTGGGAGTTGTTCTCTACTTTGTCTTTGTCTTTCTTTGGTTTGTTCATAGCTCCATATACTATCATCACGTTCCCTTTCCTGTTTGCTGTGATGTTTGGGGACTTTGGCCATGGCATTTTGATGACCCTTTTTGCTGTTTGGATGGTGTTAAGGGAGAGCCGGATCCTTTCCCAGAAGAATGAGAATGAGGTAATGTTTAAGTTACACCTGCATTGGACTGAAACTTGATAATTTCTCAAGTATTCATTATGAAAATTATGATTTGGAAGTCTTCTATCCATGAATTTATAGAGAAGTTATGGAGACTATTTAGAGAAAAGAGGAGTTATGTTCCATTTAACACTAAAAGGGCCACGTGCTGTGAAGATGAATTTCTCAGTAGTGTTGTATTTTGGTCTTTACTTCAAGTTCTCTGACCCAGGAGGGGGTAAAGTGGTATGAGAGGAAGGGTCTAGTATACTCTAAAAAACATTGTTACAACATGAGCAAAATGTATATACAGCAGGTACATTTCATCTACTTCTTTCTTCTGGTTCCCAGATGTTCAGTACTGTGTTCAGCGGCAGGTACATCATTCTGTTGATGGGTGTGTTCTCTATCTACACTGGCCTCATCTACAATGATTGCTTTTCCAAGTCTCTCAATATCTTCGGGTCATCCTGGAGCGTACGGCCGATGTTTACTATATTTAATTGGACGTAAGTTGAAAAGATGCTGAAAGTCAAAGCTTACTTCTTTCATGCTTAATTCTTATTTTCCAGACAAGTGGTAAACTAACACTTTTTTAGGGAGTGGTTGACAATGTCTCTGTTTCGGAAGAATGCAGTGTCTTCTCTTATTTATGCTCCATCCTGGGAGGTGCTCTGTGATTTGTTCACCACTATTAAGGAACTGAGACTAAGAATTAAGCACGTTGATTCTTTCTGTAAATTAAAAGCAGATTTCCCAGATTGCCTACTGGGTTTTATATATGTGTTTAATTTGTCTTTTTGTTGTCACTGATCCCTTCTGATTTTCAGATGCTAGTTCTTTCTCTTTTATTGAAGAAGCAAGAGAACTATAGTAGTTTTTTGTGGGGGATCAGTTTCCAGACCCCAGAATTTCCCTTTCTCAATAGAAAATAAATGCAGCTTTTGTCCTAACATGGTAGGGAGGAGACGCTTCGGGGGAACCCTGTTCTCCAGCTGAACCCAGCTGTCCCTGGAGTTTTTGGTGGACCATATCCTTTTGGCATCGATCCAGTAAGAGCCCTTCTTTACTATATGTCTAACACCATATTTTTAAACTGTAACCTGAAGAGAAGTAAAGTGAAAGTAAAGAGTTATTTGGTTTTTAGTTGACATTTTTTTTAGAAAACCTTGATGTGTCTATCCAGAACCCTTCAAAGCCAAAAGAGACCCCAGTGCCTTGGGGAACCAAACGATTGTTTCTGCCCTCCTTATTTCAGAGGTGGCTGATAATACTGACCCTGAGAGATTGCTTTCCAAGACTCCTTCACAGTTTAACTTATTTCTCTTTAACTTAATTTGGTTTTTATTTTTAGCAGATGTTCTAACAATGCACAAAAACCCTTTCCTTTGGATTTTAGACTTCCAGTCTTTACATACTTACAAAAACTCATCCCAGAATTTTTTTTTTCAAATATTTAGGCAAATAAAGTATGATCAAATCTTTCATATTGTGTGCTTAGGAAGAGGGGGCAGGGAGAATTTAAGAATAAGCATTAGAGAATAAGGATCACAAAATTCCAGAGGGAAACAGATCATTATGAGCCAAAAAGATTGTTTCTTGTAAAAAAAAAAAAAAAGGGAATTCACATGGCCTTTAAAATATATTTCACATTATTATAAGTGAAGAGAAGCATATGCAAAAGCATAGAGGTGGGGAGGTACAAAGTTAATTGTTTTGATTATTATAAAAGCTAATGTTACTGAAATGCTTGTACTGAGCCCTCATCATACCTGATTTATCTGACGATGCTGTCAGGAAGGTATTCCTGTGCCTGTTATACAGATAAGGAAACTGAGACTGGGGGGGAATTAATAACATTTCACATATGCATTTAACAGATGTTTATTGACTCCCTATTGTCTGCAAGGCATGGTGCCTGATAGGAGAAACACATAATTTTAAGGCATAGCTCCCACCCTCAAGTAGCTTGGAGTCTAATAATAATAATACAACCTCACACTTCTGTGGTGCTCTGTAATGACAATATTTTTGTAGGCATCTCATTTGATGCTTAGAGGTTTGATGGTAAATTTGAAGTGCCTTTGGGATACCCAGGTATAAATGTCCATCAGGCAGTTGGAACTGTAGAACTGAATTCCAGGAGAGACTGGGCTGGAGTCACAAGTTTTCAGGTTAGAGGTCACCAAGGATGACCTCTGCATGAGAGTCCAATTCAGAAAAAAAGTTGCTGAGCTAGATGTTGGAAGACTGCCTTCCCAGGCTGCAGTTGCACTTTGGCCTAGAGTTGACAGTAAGGAGTGCAGGGGGTTTCGGCACAGGGAAATGACTGCATCAGAGTCATGATTTAGGAAGCGTAATCTGTGGCCACATGAGGCAGGAGAACTGTCAGGAAAATATCACAGTGGTCCAATACATAGAACAGCCCCACAAGGACACGATCAGCAAAACACAGACTTTGGGAATTCATAAAATAATTGACCCAGTTTCTTCAACATATTTTGTAAGAAATAAATAAATCCCAGCTGGAGGGAGAACCTATAGATTAGAGATTTAAGAGCTGTATCAGCAATCACAGTATAGAGACTTGATCTGGACCCACCTTTGAATAAATTAATTATTGAAAGAAAAAATTGGGACACGGCCAGGGAAATTTGAATACTGACTACTTCATGTTTCATGATAGCAAAGAATCATTGTGAATGCTTTTGGGTATGATAACAGTACAGTGGTCATGTTTTAAAAATGAGACCTTACCTTTTAGAGACCCATACTGAAATATTTACAGGTAAGATAATATGATACCTGGACTTCATTTCCAAATATAATACAGAGGAAGGAGTAGTTTTGGGGTTTGGTGAAACAAGATTGACTGTAAGTTGATAATTATTTGTTGAAGTTAAGTCATAGGTCTGTTGGAATTTGTTATACTACTCTTTTTACCTAAGTATATGTTTAGAACTTCCCATGTTAAAAAAAAAACCAAAACTTTTTAAATGAGTGAATTAAGAGTTTTCTATTTGAGAACTCTTTGTTAATGCCTCTTTGTTTGTTTGGGTTGTGACAGATTTGGAACATAGCTTCCAATAAGCTGACCTTTCTCAACTCCTTTAAGATGAAGACCTCTGTTATCCTTGGTGTCATCCACATGATGTTTGGAGTCAGCCTGAGCCTTTTCAACCACACGTGAGTTGCTCTGGTTCTGTGCCAGGAATGCACATAGTTTAGATAATGCTTTTGCCTAAAGAAATCATGACATCTTTAGGGAGGGGTTAATAACCCAGAACCCTACATTCCACATTAAAGAAGTACTTTTATAAAAATCTCATCTTCATAAATGAGACTTAATTAATATTAGTCTCTTAATAATTTACAATTGTAGCAGAGATCTTAGAAAAAATTTGTGTCATTTTCATCAAAATGAATCCAGAGGGAAACAGATCATTATGAGCCAAAAAGATTGTTTCTTGTAAAAAAAAAAAAAAAGGGAATTCACATGGCCTTTAAAATATATTTCACATTATTATAAGTGAAGAGAAGCATATGCAAAAGCATAGAGGTGGGGAGGTACAAAGTTAATTGTTTTGATTATTATAAAAGCTAATGTTACTGAAATGCTTGTACTGAGCCCTCATCATACCTGATTTATCTGACGATGCTGTCAGGAAGGTATTCCTGTGCCTGTTATACAGATAAGGAAACTGAGACTGGGGGGGAATTAATAACATTTCACATATGCATTTAACAGATGTTTATTGACTCCCTATTGTCTGCAAGGCATGGTGCCTGATAGGAGAAACACATAATTTTAAGGCATAGCTCCCACCCTCAAGTAGCTTGGAGTCTAATAATAATAATACAACCTCACACTTCTGTGGTGCTCTGTAATGACAATATTTTTGTAGGCATCTCATTTGATGCTTAGAGGTTTGATGGTAAATTTGAAGTGCCTTTGGGATACCCAGGTATAAATGTCCATCAGGCAGTTGGAACTGTAGAACTGAATTCCAGGAGAGACTGGGCTGGAGTCACAAGTTTTCAGGTTAGAGGTCACCAAGGATGACCTCTGCATGAGAGTCCAATTCAGAAAAAAAGTTGCTGAGCTAGATGTTGGAAGACTGCCTTCCCAGGCTGCAGTTGCACTTTGGCCTAGAGTTGACAGTAAGGAGTGCAGGGGGTTTCGGCACAGGGAAATGACTGCATCAGAGTCATGATTTAGGAAGCGTAATCTGTGGCCACATGAGGCAGGAGAACTGTCAGGAAAATATCACAGTGGTCCAATACATAGAACAGCCCCACAAGGACACGATCAGCAAAACACAGACTTTGGGAATTCATAAAATAATTGACCCAGTTTCTTCAACATATTTTGTAAGAAATAAATAAATCCCAGCTGGAGGGAGAACCTATAGATTAGAGATTTAAGAGCTGTATCAGCAATCACAGTATAGAGACTTGATCTGGACCCACCTTTGAATAAATTAATTATTGAAAGAAAAAATTGGGACACGGCCAGGGAAATTTGAATACTGACTACTTCATGTTTCATGATAGCAAAGAATCATTGTGAATGCTTTTGGGTATGATAACAGTACAGTGGTCATGTTTTAAAAATGAGACCTTACCTTTTAGAGACCCATACTGAAATATTTACAGGTAAGATAATATGATACCTGGACTTCATTTCCAAATATAATACAGAGGAAGGAGTAGTTTTGGGGTTTGGTGAAACAAGATTGACTGTAAGTTGATAATTATTTGTTGAAGTTAAGTCATAGGTCTGTTGGAATTTGTTATACTACTCTTTTTACCTAAGTATATGTTTAGAACTTCCCATGTTAAAAAAAAAACCAAAACTTTTTAAATGAGTGAATTAAGAGTTTTCTATTTGAGAACTCTTTGTTAATGCCTCTTTGTTTGTTTGGGTTGTGACAGATTTGGAACATAGCTTCCAATAAGCTGACCTTTCTCAACTCCTTTAAGATGAAGACCTCTGTTATCCTTGGTGTCATCCACATGATGTTTGGAGTCAGCCTGAGCCTTTTCAACCACACGTGAGTTGCTCTGGTTCTGTGCCAGGAATGCACATAGTTTAGATAATGCTTTTGCCTAAAGAAATCATGACATCTTTAGGGAGGGGTTAATAACCCAGAACCCTACATTCCACATTAAAGAAGTACTTTTATAAAAATCTCATCTTCATAAATGAGACTTAATTAATATTAGTCTCTTAATAATTTACAATTGTAGCAGAGATCTTAGAAAAAATTTGTGTCATTTTCATCAAAATGAGTGAGTTTTTTTTTTTTCCTTGATGGGTAACTCACACAAAATTATGAACTGTGGTCTCAGAATGTATGAGATTTTCCAATCTTTCTCATAGGAACGGGTAGGGGTTGGTACTAGAGCCATTCAAGATCGCAGAGTGTGGAAGTCATAGTTAATCCTCCTTGTCTCTGTTGCCTCCAGTTCTTCTGTCTGTTGCTTCTTAAAGTGATGACAGAATTGAGGGAGCATCAGGTAGAAAATCTAGTGAGTATTCCCTTTGGTAAAGAGTGACCCTGGGTCTCTTCACCTTTAACATTTTTCTCTCTCTTCCTTTTCAGCTATTTCAAGAAGCCCCTGAATATCTACTGTGGATTTATTCCTGAAATAATCTTCATTACCTCTTTGTTTGGCTACTTGGTTATCCTTATTTTTTACAAGTGGACAGCCTATGATGCAAAGACATCTGAGAAAGCGCCAAGCCTTCTGATCCATTTCATAAACATGTTCCTCTTTTCCTATGCAGACTCTGGTAACTCGATGCTGTATTCTGGACAGGTGCGTTAACCAGAGAAGGAATGTTTTAGGTGGTTACCCTAGGTCAGGAAGCCACATGTTTCTGTTACCATAGAAGGGGCTTTAAAAATCTCTATCTGTGGTATTGGGTTTTCAGCCCATACATCCAGACCTAAATTCAGCACATGCTCCTTAGTTTGGTCTACTGTCATTTTTTATCCAGCAAGGATAGAATTTATAACTCTTATTCCTGGGATTTGCCACATCTGCTGATTATTTTGAGAAATAGCATAATGTTGTTTACAGATCAGTAAGAAAATACTGTTTTGGGAGAAATCTGTGCTGGAGTTGGAAACTGCATGCTTGACTAATGTTCTGAGCCTTCTTTCTCTGCAGAAAGGAATTCAGTGTTTCCTGGTGGTGGTTGCGCTGTTGTGTGTACCTTGGATGCTACTATTTAAACCACTGGTCCTTCGCCACCAATATTTGAGGAGGAAGCATTTGGTGGGTGTATGTTTGTTGTTGAAAGTTACTAGATTTATTTTTTTAAGATCAAAGGCAATTCCTCATCAATAAAATGAATTATGCATATGTCTATATACTCTTAAAATGCATTTATGTCATATCCCAGCATGAACACTGGACCTGCTTAAATTTTCAAAAACATGTATTTGCAGCTCTGATGTCTGGATTTAGCTTTGAATAGGTTGAGTTGAGAAAACAAGTCATAAGTTTTTACCTTTCCTGGTCATGCTCTGCTTAGGCTGTGCACAGCAAAATCCAGGTCTGGGCCTGTCTAGATGCAATACCAGCCAGAGCAAGGCTGCAAAGGCTGGAGACGATGAGCCCATTCATGTGGTTTGCCTGGGCAGCCACAGAGCTGATGCTGAGACATGTTCTTTTAAAACGAGAGTGTGATACTTTCACCAACCAAAACATCCGGGCAAAAGATTTGGTTTAAAGCACACTGATTTTTTTTTTTTTTAAAGCAGCATACACTTTCATGTTTACCTAATGTATGGGTGCCTATGAATTCTACGCACACACAACCACACACACTTACATTGCCAAATGTTCATTTTTGGCTATGTGATAATGCTTATTCCACTGCCTGGTAAAGCCCAAAAGATCTCGTTGCATGACTCTCATATGGCTGTTACATTATTACTCCTGTTGGAGAGCAGCTGAGTTACAAGAGCCTCCTTCTCCCTTTTCTGACCATCTTCATCCTTCCATGTGCCCTCCATTCGTCTCCCCCTTCACTTCTCCCTCTTTTGTTTCCTTTCCCTTCCTCTTTTCTTCCATTCACTATCAGGAAGGGCAACCTGTGGAGGCCCCAGTCAGCCCAACCCCGAGCCAGCAGGGACTAGAGGCAGCAGCGGCTGCAACAGTGAGTGAATTGAAACTGACAATCCATCACATTTTGTTCAAAGAGGTGGCAAACAGTGCAGCAGAATTCTTTGTAACTCTGTTGAGAGCATGGGACCTGTGTATCTTGGAAAGTATGTTCTTGTTACTTATTGAGATGATAACAGAAAAGATGTCCACCTCTTATGAATAGATTCTGGTATCATCTTCACTGGCCTAGTAGGTTTCTATTGAAATGTGTAAAGTACAGTCAGTCTTGTCTGTGAAAGCAAAGTGGCTGCTGGGCCCTCTCTGAGTCCCATCATCTTCATCCAAGACAGCAGCTTGTGGACTCTGTCCACTTCATGTCTGTATCTTGTGGCCATGTATTTGATAATTTTTCAGCATGGGGTAAGAACATCTCTGTGATCTTGAGTTGATTTCCCTGTACTTGTAAAGTTCTGCTTTGGATGATTGGACATTGTGTCCACTTTAGCTGTGACTTACTCCCTTTCCCATGGAAGCTTATACGTGTCTATTTTTTTGTGAGAGACTCAGAAGCTTGTGCCCTCTACTATTGCAGCGAGACCTCTACCCTGCTGTGTCTCTTGTGTACTCTATATCTGGTGTAGTAACGAGAGTCATCTTCTGTTTTGGTCTTTCCTTCTTCCAGTACTAACTGGTGATTCAGTAAGAGCACTGTGAATGTTACGCATTTCAATGTTTATCCTTAAAAACATCTCTTAACCAAACTCTTACAATACACTAATATCAAATTAGCCCAGTTTATTTTAGGTGATGAATCTATAAGGTTGTGAAAACCTCAGCAGTAGTGATTATAGACAAGTAACCATTTCCTTCACTAGGTGTTCTGATCATTTTAAACTTAGAAAACTGCTATAATCATCCTTATAGAACCAGTCTAAAAAGGCTGATATTTTAGATCATAAGATATTTTAATGTTGCTGCTTAAAATTATTTCCAAGTGGGACTTTCTTTCCTTTGAGAAATTGAGAGAAAAAAAAAAAACCCTTAAAGCACATACTACCTATTTATTGACATCCTCTCCACATATTCTTCTCTCTGTGAACTTTAATATAGTTAAGATGTGCTTCTGATGCTTTTAAAGTCTGGCATCCTCTTCTGTGGTACTGTACTATGATACCCTCAAGTCCCCAGTCTGGAAACCTACACATTCACAGGGTCTTCTCGGTCCACTGCTTCTTCAGCCAAATGTGTTTCTGGAGGCATCAGGCTGATCATTCTACAACAGGGGCCCTAGGTTCTTGGTCCCAAAGGTTGAGGATCTGTTTTTGTCCTGTTCTGTGTCCTCTTGGTTGTCTATAAGTGGGGTATCACAGGGGTTTGATCTTTTTCTTTTCTTTTTGCTACTGATTTGTATGTCTCATCCCCCTTTCTGTTACTCTCATTCCTCATGTTCTGAAGGGACACTTGTTAGTTCTGCCCCTCATTCTCTGCTGGTTGGGGAAAGCTTCATAAATAGCCTTCTGCTTTTGGGACCTTGAAGCCTGAAGCCTGCCACCTCTCCCCTATAACCCATCCCAGGAGTCCTCTCCTGTCCCCAGAGCCCTTGGTTGCACTTTCAGTCCACCTTTTGAGGGCTGTTGGGTGTAATATTTGCATGGCCTGGAGGTGCCCAGGATATGAGTAGTTCCCAAATGTAACTATACATCAGAATCACCTCGTGAACTTTAAATTTGTTTCTTAGGGCAGTAAAACAAAACAGAGAAGTGGAAGAAGAAACACAGGTGGCCCATAATTCCATGACCCAGACAATCCCCTACTGACATTAAAAATAAAATTAAAACAATAGGTGTACTTGGTCAGAGAATGCAAATTGCTCTGAAGCTGAAAGCATCCTGTGCCCAGCACCCTTCTCCTCCTCCAGGGTATGGTTAACAGACCGGGAAATAGGCCTCCAGATTTTTTTCTGCATGTATCAACATATGTCCACCATCTGTGGCTATAAATATATATGTGTGTAAATACATGAATATATATATATTTAAAACACATTGTGTTTTAAACTGTAGCACTCTTCTGCCTCTTGATTTATTAGGTTTTTGTTAAGTTTGACAGATCTTAGAGATTGGTTCATGGTGATACTCTTCTTCATAGTTGCCTAGCATTCTATGGAACATTCTGTTGGATATGCTACAATTATGTTATCACTCGTTGATGGATGTGTTGGTTTTCCCAATTGTTTGCTATTACAAATAATGCAGGGAACATCCTTATCCATGTATCCTGATAAAATTTCACAAGCATATATGTTCCCAGCAGTGGGACTGCTAAGTCTCAAAGGATGCATGTGCTTCTTTGTGCACGCATTTTCAGTTTTGATAAATAATCAAAAATGATTATACAGTTTGGACTTGGGAAAATATTTTTTTAAATACAGATTTCCTAGGCCCTACCCCAGACCTACTAAATTTACAGTTCCTAAGGGTATTCTTCAGGAATCTCTACTTAATGAAATGTAGCTTTCAAGGTGTTTCTGATGCACCCGGTTCTTTGACCAGCATGTGAGAACTGATGCTAGAAGAGAGAGAATTTGCCGAAACACCCAGATCCAGTTGTCAGTAAGCTGTGGCATGGTGTACACCCAAAGGTGAGGCTGTGAGGGAGCCTCAGGGCTGTTGAGCAAACTGGCCTGCATGTCGCCTGCCTGCAGTCCAGAAGGCCACTTTACAGGAGAGCAGCCTCCAGACTCTTGCCTTGTTTGGCTCCCCAGACAGAAATCATTTGGAGAGGGTCCAGGGGCTGTTTGTTCAGCTCCTTCTCATTCTGTGGCAGATAAGCACTAAATGCCATCTGTCAGACTTAATCCCCATTCAACCTAGTTTTTGTGCCCAAATAGTCCTTTTGCTTCAATAACCCTGAGCTTTCCAAATCAGGTTGACTTAAAATTTCTGGTGCTGGAGACCCTTCTTAAAACTATGCCCAGGAAGTGAGAAGCAACCAGACCCCAGTCAGCATCTGCCCACATGCCTGTGAGAGTTGTTATAATGCTCCAGAATCCTCTCCTGAAGAAAGGGAACCCCCCATCACCCACCTTTTTTAAACTCAGTATTCTCTACCCACAAGCTAATGTACATCAAGCTTTTTCCTTCCCTGACCTAGGAAGTCCTTTGTTTCTGGGCAGAGAGTTGGAACATTTCTGGGAGAAGTCATTGGAACTGTTGGGTTCCTGCTGAAAGCTAATCAAACGAGGTTACAATCAGTACGTCATTTGGTGCCCCTCCCTCCTAGAAAGGCCAGTCTTCAGATTGCTGCAGAAAAACTTAGGCTATTAAAGGCTTTACAGGTAGAGCTACACTTGTTACGAGAGTCTGTTCATATCCAGCAGGGTTCTCAGCAGCGTTGACCTAAGTGAGCGTTGTGTCTCTTGGTGCAGCAGGCAGAACTGTGTATTTCCTCTAATCAGGATGAAGTGGTGACTGCAGCTGGGGCAGTGGCAGTTGGGGTGGTAACAGTGGTTTTCTTTTTCTTAGAGGTTTGTGAGGTGGGTTTTGATTTTGTTGTTAGAATATATGCTTTTCTGAGGTTTGTATGTACTAACCATCGCCCTTCCCCACCTCACAGAATGTCACATTAAAGCCCAGGCAAATTCTACTCTTTCTGTTCATCTGTGTAGGGAACTCTCAACTTTGGTGGGATCAGGGTGGGCAACGGACCGACAGAGGAGGATGCTGAGATTATTCAGCATGACCAGCTCTCCACCCATTCAGAGGATGCAGAAGAGGTAAGATCCAGTGGTGTGGGCTTCCTGTCCTTCCACCCTAGTCTTGTATACCTAAGTGGCCTCATACCAGTCTTCACCTTGAAAAATGAGAATGCTAATGATCAGCCTGCCTTCTGGACCTCTTAGGGCACCCCAGCTTCTTCTAGTGGGTCCCCAGCACTAAACACCAGGTGTTACCTGCAGAGCCCATAGCAGCATCACTCCGTTGTCTGACTTCTCGGGATCTGGGTTGCCTGCAGTACTCTGTGAAAATGTCAGTTGCAACTGCTCTCCTCAGGCAGAGGCCAGTTAGCCCAGCTCCCAGCTCTTTTACCAGAAATACAGTCCACTATGGCAGCTTCTTCATCCCTTGGCCCTTCCAAGAGTGGTTCCAATTGAACTGTAATCACTGGTGCTTTTGAAGTCCTGTCCCACTTGTTGCAGATATTTTATCTGAGCCTTTTAAAAATGTTACTTGCCTCCTTTTTATAGGGAGAGTGAAAAGTAATAAGACCAAGCTAGGCTTTTCCTTAAACCATTACCTCTAAGCTCAGTTTTTAAAAATCCAGTCTCTTTGCCTTACCACTCGTACCACGAAGCCTCTTTACTGAACTTTTGATTTTCATCTATTTATTATATTCTTTTTAAAGCAAATAGATTAGGAGTTGACCCAGATGACCAGAGTTTTCAGTATGACTGACCATGTCCACTATGTATGACTTTTTAAAAAAAGAAATTGTAAGGGTTGAGGTGCCTTTTAAAAATATGTGTCTAAATGCTCTAAATCCTGCTGATTTTGTTTTCCTTGTCTGCTGAGGCCTGCCTCCAACATGTTAGATCCACTTAACATTAACAGTTCTCCCTGAGAAGCAATCAGTAGCCTTGTGCTCGTGACTTGTGACCTTGTGTGTGGCGTGGCTTCCCCACTAAGTGTAAATTTGTGTTTTCAAGCCTACCGAGGACGAAGTGGTAAGAAACAAGCTGGCTTTGCCTTCATGTTTATCTGGGGTTTCTCTTCCCATCTTTGTGATCACTCTGCTGACCCTGCTGCGTCCTGGGGCCACACATCCCGCATCTCACTGGCCATTTCTAACCAGTCTGTGAATCTGCTCATCTCCATTAACTGCATCTCATGTTGGTCTCCTCTGTCTTCGTTTCATTGACTTTGCTGATCTAGTACCTCTGAGAATGGCTTTGAAAGGAGCTACAAGTAATGTCTGCATTGGCATTCTTGAAGGACTCCCCTTGGGGTTAAGTCCCATTGGCCTGTGCCTTCTCTCCTATGCTGCTATGTGTGGTCGCTCTGCCACTGGGAATAGCTGTTTCCTCCCTGCTCCTCTGAGCACTTAGGAGTAAAACTCACCCTTTCCTCCTGTCTGCAATGCAGCCAGCCTCTTCTGCTGCCCTCATCAGCTTGATGATGCTTGAAGTGAGAATTGCTGGGCCCTTGCTTGGGGTCAGCTGGGCCTCCACATGACCCAGGTGGGAGGAAGACAGCTTTCAAAAGGAGGCTTTGCCTCGCAGATCCATCCCAGAGAAAGCAATCCATCTGCGTGAATGGGGTTCATAATTTTCCAGCCACGTGTAGAGAATAATAGACAATAGAAAGAAAGCAAAATATTCAGGCCATATCTGGAGTAGAAGGCCTTCTAACCCAGCAAAAATTTATTAAACAATATACAAGTTTGGAACTGGTTTTTTAAAAGGCCTTGCTGCACTGTTTGCATCTTCCCCTAAAACTGCTCTCCCTAGACCCACTCACCCTTCCCTTTCCTGGCACTCCGGAGCCTCTCTAAGGGGACAGTGGGATGGGAATGGGAAAATCTTTGCTATGCTGTGTAAAAGCAGTGTTCGGTCTTCTTGAAGGCTGAAGAGACTCCTTTGCTGGCATTCAGGAGCTTCTGTGTTCCTCTGGACTGCTCATGTGCACAGTCTGCGCTGCCTGGAAGGGCTGGGTGAACAGTGAGGAGCCCAGGCCCCTCCCTGTAACACCACTGCCAACAATACTGTCCTTTCTAAATGTCTTACTAGTTGAGCACCTAATGCCATGGCCATTGTCAGAATGGCCCTCATTTGTAGCCATTTCCCGGGGGAACTGGACAGCCAAACAAGATGACAGTAATTCAGTACCCCCAGCTTCCCCAGCAGTCATAACATTTTATTAGGCACATACATAGTGTAGTTCTCTGCAGCCAAATTTAGATATCAGCCATGGTTATCTATAAGTATTACAAACAAAACAGATTTTTTTTTTAATGTCCAGCCTACTTCTTCGAGAACTTTCCCATTTTGCTTGACTGTGAAAACCTGTTTGCTTCAGGCAAGCCATTTGCTCCCGCCTAGCAGAAGCAGCAGGCCCTCTCCCTGGGGCAGGGGGCCACTCAGTCCAGTTGCAAACAGGTCCATACCAGTAACTGTCTGGGAAATCTTTGGAGGCTGCAGCCATTCAGCAAGGGTCAGTGGCACCTCTCCCTCTTGCGTCATCTCACCAGGCACGTTCATCCCACCCATCCATCCATTCATCACCCTCTTGTGTGCTAAGCACTCTGTTTAGTGCTTCAGAAACTGAGACAAGAAAAACATGGTCCTTGCCTTCAAGGAACTCCCAGATTGAGGAGACGTCTGGGTGGCAGATGCTGTGATCAGGTGTGCCCAGAATGCTGTGGGAGCACAGAGGGCACCTGATGAACACTGGGGGCGTGGAGGGGAGGAGAGTAGGAATGGGTTCCCCATGGAAATTATTGCTAGGCTTAGTCTGGTCCAACAGGAGTCTGGAGGGAGGAAGAGATGCAGACCCATCTGTACACATAATTAGCACAAAGGCACAGAGGCCTGTGGGCCTGTCATGTTCTGGGGATAAGCAAACCCAGCAAAAATTTATTAAACAATATACAAGTTTGGAACTGGTTTTTTAAAAGGCCTTGCTGCACTGTTTGCATCTTCCCCTAAAACTGCTCTCCCTAGACCCACTCACCCTTCCCTTTCCTGGCACTCCGGAGCCTCTCTAAGGGGACAGTGGGATGGGAATGGGAAAATCTTTGCTATGCTGTGTAAAAGCAGTGTTCGGTCTTCTTGAAGGCTGAAGAGACTCCTTTGCTGGCATTCAGGAGCTTCTGTGTTCCTCTGGACTGCTCATGTGCACAGTCTGCGCTGCCTGGAAGGGCTGGGTGAACAGTGAGGAGCCCAGGCCCCTCCCTGTAACACCACTGCCAACAATACTGTCCTTTCTAAATGTCTTACTAGTTGAGCACCTAATGCCATGGCCATTGTCAGAATGGCCCTCATTTGTAGCCATTTCCCGGGGGAACTGGACAGCCAAACAAGATGACAGTAATTCAGTACCCCCAGCTTCCCCAGCAGTCATAACATTTTATTAGGCACATACATAGTGTAGTTCTCTGCAGCCAAATTTAGATATCAGCCATGGTTATCTATAAGTATTACAAACAAAACAGATTTTTTTTTTAATGTCCAGCCTACTTCTTCGAGAACTTTCCCATTTTGCTTGACTGTGAAAACCTGTTTGCTTCAGGCAAGCCATTTGCTCCCGCCTAGCAGAAGCAGCAGGCCCTCTCCCTGGGGCAGGGGGCCACTCAGTCCAGTTGCAAACAGGTCCATACCAGTAACTGTCTGGGAAATCTTTGGAGGCTGCAGCCATTCAGCAAGGGTCAGTGGCACCTCTCCCTCTTGCGTCATCTCACCAGGCACGTTCATCCCACCCATCCATCCATTCATCACCCTCTTGTGTGCTAAGCACTCTGTTTAGTGCTTCAGAAACTGAGACAAGAAAAACATGGTCCTTGCCTTCAAGGAACTCCCAGATTGAGGAGACGTCTGGGTGGCAGATGCTGTGATCAGGTGTGCCCAGAATGCTGTGGGAGCACAGAGGGCACCTGATGAACACTGGGGGCGTGGAGGGGAGGAGAGTAGGAATGGGTTCCCCATGGAAATTATTGCTAGGCTTAGTCTGGTCCAACAGGAGTCTGGAGGGAGGAAGAGATGCAGACCCATCTGTACACATAATTAGCACAAAGGCACAGAGGCCTGTGGGCCTGTCATGTTCTGGGGATAAGCAACTATATAGCTGAGTCAGGAGTAGGGGGACTGGAGAGAGGTGAGATGAGGTTGGCAGAAACCAGCTGTAGCAGAGCATTGAGGTGACAAGGAGCCATCAGGACAATAACGTTGGATGTGGCATTGCTGAAATGCCCTAGAAATAGGGTATGTTGGACTGGGGAGGGGGGCAGTCTGGAGGCATGAAGACCAGCTAGTCTGACCCGAGTTACAGAAGAATCGGGAGACCTGAGGTGAAGTGCAGGGCAAATTGGAAAGGGAGGGACAGATAGGAGGTTAAGGAAGTAGCTCCAGGCCCCAGGGCTTAGTGAGTGCAGGCAGCCAGAGTGAAGACTCAAGTTTGCTTTCAAGGTTCAGTCGCCTGGGGCAGTAGTAGTGACACTGTTCCACACGAGGTGGAGTGAAGTAGGCCTGGTGGGGTCAAAGGAGAGCAGTCAATGAGTTTGGGGGGCACTGAGTGTGAAGCGCCTGTGGTGCAGGAGGAGGAGATGCAGCACAGCTAGTTGGAAATGGGCAACATGGAGCCTGGGAGTCACTCCAAGGGGTGGCTGTTGAAGCCCTGGGTGGCAGTGCTACAGGGAAGATGTAAGAGCCTGTCATGTTTTGGGGATAAGCCTGGAAAGCCAGCATTTTAAGAAGGGAGGTAAAGGAGCCTGAGAAGGAACATGCAAAGGACAGAGGAGGGAAAACGAGGGTAGGTGAGTGTCTCAAGAGGGAGAAGGAGAGGACAGTAGCCACAGAAACTGCAGAGGCTCAGTCAGCACCCAGAATGCCCGTCAGATCTCAAGACTGGGAGGTACGGGCAGGCATGCCAAGAAGGGCCAGCGTGGGGGTAGAAGCCAGGTGCAGTAGGAGAGTAGAGGTGGGCAGTGAGAAAGGAGTAGAGACAGAATGTGGACGGGGATCAGTGGTGATCAGTGCTGGGCCAGAGCTGACTTGGAGGGGCAGTGACAGACTCCAGGTGCTTGGCTCCATTTCTCAATCTTTACCTTGGCCCAGTACATAGCATAGATAAGAAAACTTGCCCCAGGTTACAAAGCAAGAAGTTTGGAATGAAGGAGAGAGGAAAGTGAGGGTAGGGCCTAGAAGAGAAGCTTCTTCCCTGATCTCCCTCCATCCTTTTAGCTTTTTTTTTTAAATGGGAGAAACTTGAGGTACAATACAAACGCTGACAGGGGCTGGTTCTGAGAGGCCAGCAGTCCCTGCTCCCAGAGAGCTCTGGGGAGTGTGGAGGTCTGCCGGCCTCAGAGCTGGGACCTTTCCTTCCTCTGAGCGTGGGCTTTGGGGCAACAGCAGTGTTGGGACTGAGGTAACTAGGATTACCTAGTTTTCAGGGTAACTAAGAGGCTTGAAGGACCTTGTCCCAGAAAAGCCCAGAAATACTGAGTGTAGATAGAGGTGTGGACAAATGAGGCCCAAAGACAATGTGTTGGACTAGCCCCTCTCTCCAGAGTCCACCAGCCCCTTCTCTCATCCTACCTTTATGTAGCTTCCCAAGGCATTTCAGGTGTGCTTTGGAAATGGGGTCATATGAACCTTGAAAGAAACTGGTGAGATATAGACTGAGCTGAGGGCCCGGCAGGCTGGGAGACCCACTGGTTCTGGGCGGGGCTGTGGAGGAGGAGCCCGGGAGGGAGCTCCTCCCCCTGTGGCTGCTCCGCCAGGAGACTGACAGGCCCGAGGGCACCTGCTGCTGCTAGAGCGAGTGGAGTCGGTGTTCTTCCCCAGCTGTGCTTGGGGCAGTCCTAGAAGTGAAGTCCTGAAAGCTTGTTCCAGCCTTGCCCCTTTGTTCTGGAGATCATTTTTGATGTTGAAAGGGAGTGTGAAGACAAACACAACACATGGCTTGTTTGGTCTTTATCAGCTGTCCAAGTAGAAGTTTGTAAAGCTTGTGCTAAACTGTCCCTGCGTAATCTTCTCAGAAGTCACCAAAGGAAGAGGAGGTCATCTTGTTCTCAGTAGGTTGTAGAAATAATAAGTGAAGTGGCTGTGGAGGTTTAGTTTCGTCCGCACCGTGTCTGGCCTGATAGCCTGTCTCCTGCTGCACGGCCAGCTGAGGAAAAGCCCTTCCTGCTCTCATGGCTTATTCAGAGCAGGGCAGTTCATTCTCAGGCCCCTTAAGGGGACGCCAGCTAGAGTGAGTCCAGCAGCAGGTCCTCAGAGGCCCTGGGCCAGACATGTGTTTTCTCAGAGTGCTCTTGCCTCAGCATACACTCCACTCTTGAGTGAGCAGTCTAACAGGGAGAAAAATAAATGTGTTGAGAAGAATCTTGTTAGGATATAGTTCATTAAGATGTAGCCTATTGAGAAAGATGGGTGTACCAGTTGGGGACTAAGCCAGGCATCTTTTCTGGGGATGGCATAGCTGAAATTACACAAGTTCAACACCAGGGGCTCCTGGCCCACGTAGCCATTAGTGTCATCCTCAGGCCCAGGCCCAAAGTGCCTCCTGCCCCTGCCCCTCCTACTCTTACCTGTTCTCTCTGCCTTCCTCCCACAACAGTTTGATTTTGGGGACACCATGGTCCACCAGGCCATCCACACCATCGAGTACTGCCTGGGCTGCATCTCCAACACTGCCTCCTACCTGCGGCTCTGGGCCCTCAGCCTCGCTCATGCACGTGAGTGTATTTCTCTCAGATTGAAAACGACACACTCGCAGGTGGGGAGCTTAAATTGAGTGGAAATTACATAAAGGTTCTGGAATTATTCAGCCTACTGACTCCAGGGAAAATGATGTCCAGATGGGAGGATCTGCACTTCTGCCAGGTTAGCTATGCACAGTGGTCTCACTAAGGTCACAGAAGCCAGGGAGCAAGGAACACCACAGATGTGATGGCAGAGCAGAATGCAAGGCCCACAGCTCCTCTTGCCAAACTGACCTGGATGTCATGTCTCTGCCCATTCCCCAGAGCTGTCTGAGGTGCTTTGGACCATGGTGATCCACATCGGCCTACGGGTGAAGAGCTTGGCAGGAGGTCTGGTGCTGTTCTTCATCTTCGCCGCCTTTGCCACCCTGACCGTGGCCATCCTCCTGATCATGGAGGGCCTCTCAGCCTTTCTCCATGCGCTGCGGTTACACTGGTGAGGGGTGGCAGGGGGCTGGGGGCTGGGGCCGTGTCTTTAGCTGCACTGAGGGCAGCTCTACTTCTTACAGACTCCAGAAGCTCGAGGTGTCTGCTTTCACTTCATTGCACCCAAGGACGTATCTTAGCAGTGAGCATCAGCAAACGTCCATCGGAGAGCAGAGCCTCCGGAGAGATTCTCCAGTGGGTGTTGTCAGATGCCCTCTCCCTGCCTTTAGCATTCAGTGCTCCTGATCATGGCTTACCAGATCCACTGAAGTTTAATTTTGTTGGGATTTTTTGCTCTGATATATAACTTTCTACTATCTTCAGAGCAGTGGAAGCAGCTCTGGAAAAGTTTCTAAGTCCAGGAAAGTGCTAGAGGACACTGTGCCCCAGTTTTGTCCCCCCATTCTGTCACTGTGCCCGTGTCTTTGGGTAGGGCCCCCAGCATCTTCATGTGGGTATGGGGATTCCTGGTTCCAGAGTGTGCAGCTCAGTACACTGACGCAAGTTTGAGGAAGGGCAGGTTGGGGGCTTGTTTCATTTAATGTAGTTTGTGTCTTAATGGCTTTGCCTGGAGAGAGCAAGCTCAGTCCCTGGGAATGGGACAGTTGGGGTCTGGTCTTAACTGATTCTGTGACCTCCAAGTAGGGCTGCCAGATTTAGCAAATAAAATTACAGGACACCCAGTTTAAATTTGATTTTCAGATAAAAAAATGAATACATTTTTTAGCATAACTATTTCCCAAATGTGCATAAGATATACTAAAAACTGGGCATCCTTTACTTTATCTGGCTGTCCTACCTCAAACCCTACCTCTTCGAGTCTCCATTTCCTCCTTTATGTGTGTTTCTTCCTCTCTTTTTTGGGTCTCAAACCCCAGTGGCTCTGGAAACTTGGGACCCTCTCTCCAGAGAAACACACACACACCCAATGTGTGTACACAGTTTTACAAGGGATGGTCGAGATGATCCGTGGGGGTAATTATCTCAAGGTGAAAAAGGGCTCGGAATATCTCTTCCCGTCAGTTCTCCAAACCTGAAAAAATCCAAAATCTAACTAAGAGAACTCTTCCTTACTCCCTTTCTCTGACTTTTCTCCTGGCTTGGTTACAGCTGAAACTCCTCAAAGATTCCACTGTTTGTTGTTCTAAATTACGGAGGGAAAGGGTGGGCGTGTGAGGGTGGGATGCGGCTGGAACTTACTCTTCCCTCGGAGGCTCCTGTAGAGGAATCCGTCCTGCTGTGTCAGGGTCACAGGTTGCTTTCTCTGGCTTGGCTCTCCTCCTGCCTCCCTGCTCCCGCCCAGCTGTTGTTTACTGTGGGGCCCGGAGGTCATGGTGTGGCTGGGACTGCCGGTGCTCTACCCGGTTGTGGGCTTATCAGCATGCTCTCTCCCAGCACTTCCTCAGCCCCCCGGCCTGAGGGGATGTCTGTGGAACCAGCCTTTGGCGGCTCAAGTTCTCTTGTCCCCTTGGCTTCTTCCCCTTCCTAGTCACTTCTCTGCTGAGCCCTGGGCTGAGGGAACAGTTACCGCCGCACCTGATTCCAGCCCAAGCCGGGGGAGCCTGTTGCCTCCTCCCTGGGGTGAGGTGGAGAGCAGTCGAGGGCTGGGCCAGAACTGTCCCACAGAGCGGTGAGCAGGCACACCAAGGTGCGCAGAAGGTCACCTGGGGTGGGCCTAATCTCCAGGGAGCTGAGGCAGTTTGGGAGGTCACATTTAGTTGCCAGAAGGATTACCTCTTCCTCAGGCTCACCCGTGGCCTTTGAGTGATGGTGTCATCCCACATCCTCATGAATGAGCCCAAGGAAGTGACAAGTGACAGGAAAACACTCTTCAGAATTAGGCTGACCTGGATTTGATTGCCATGCCAACACTAACTGCATGACCCTGAGGAAGCATTTACCTCTCTGAACCTTACTTTCTTTCATATGAAAAGAGGATAATATCCACATGACAAGGTTGCAGGGATCAAGTAAGAAATTATGCACATACCAGGTGACTGTCACAATGCTCTGGCACATGATAAACCAGTGTTCAAGGACAGATGGCGGCTGCCCTGCTTAAGAGTGGGCTACCCTGTGGAGAAGGCGTCTGGCTGTGGTTCTTTGCAACAAAACTACCTTTAGTCTGTTGAGGGAGAGGGGATGCCTCAAGGGGAGGCACAGGATACCATCTCAGATGTGGTTTGCAAGGAGCTGTCTCTTCAGACATACTGTCCTTGTGTTTTTCCTTTTTTTTGGTAGTGGAAGTACTGGGTAGAAGAGAAGAGTGATAGCTTGAGGCTTGGAGCATCTGTCCTGCCACTGAAAAGGAGTGAATGAAGCTGGTGCTCATGCACCCCCTTCTGGCTGAATGTGGGTGTGCCTCCAGGATCCTGGGTTTCTTGGTCCCCAGGAGTCCTGAGTTGTGGCTATCTGGGGAGTAGCGGGGCGCAGCTGGTCCTGCTGAAAATGGCTGCTGCAAGGACATAGCTGCTGTTTTTCCTGGCAGCCACCCTGGCGTCTTCGTACCTGTCACTTTACTCCCACTATTCAGCTGGGGTCTCCCGATTCTGATGCAAGGGCTGCCCCTTTACACAAGTTCTGGGTCTCTCTGGTGTGGGCAAGAAGAAAAACATCTGACTTGATAACAAATATAAACCACTTGTCAGAAATCATAAAGGGTCATAAGGAAGTGGGTGACATACTTGAAAACAATAGTGAACAAGGTATTGTACCAACCTGCTAATTCTGTCTCCTTCTGAGTTAACATCTTTCTCTCTTTTCCTCCCACTGACCATGTAAAGTATGCTTGGCCTACCCTAATTAGATGAATTTTCTTCTTCAGAAAGCAGAGGCAGGGATATGATTTATAGTTACAACTGTGGACACCAAACTGATTTTAGCACACGGATTGTTACCCCATGACCTACAGGAACATAACCCCAATCTAGCAGCTCCACATACAGGCACACCTCAGAGATACTGCAGGTGCTGTTCCAAACCACTGCAATAAAGAAAATATCACAGTAAAGCAGGTCGAAGGAATGTTTTGGTTTCCCAGTGTATTTCAAAGTTACGTTTGTACTATCCTGTAGTCTGTTAAATGTGCAATAGCATGATGTCTACACAAAAAATGTCCATACCTTAATTTAAAAATACCTGGTGAGGGGATGGGGAGACAGACAAAATAGTTAAAGGGGATAGAGGTACAAACTAAGTGAAAAGAAATAATACTTTGTTGCTAAGAAAAGCAAACCATTATCTGAGCTTTCAGTGCGTCATAATCACTGATCACAGATCACCACAGCAAATATAATAATAATGAAAAAGTTTGAAATATTATGAGAATTACCAAAATGAGAGAGACATGAAGTAAGCAAACGCTGTTGGAAAAATGGCGCCAATAGACTTGCTCTGTGCAGGCTTGCCACCCACCTTCAGTTGTAGAAAATGCGGTAACTACAAAGTGTAGTAAAACGAGGTGTGCCTGTATGTGTACATGTGTACACTTGCACACCCACAGATTGGTTGATGGCTAAAGGGCCAAAACAAGGACCAGTTTATTGTAAGGGATGCAGTGCACTACAGCAGCATGCCACGGGGTAGTCAGGGAATGGCTTCCCAGGAGAAGTTTAAGGATGCCTGACATGTCCCTGGCTGCCATCACCTCTCTGACATTTGGGCCATCAGACAGATGTGTGTTTTAGGCCCAGAAAAGAGAGTGGTAGAAAGGGCCGGAGAAGCTGCTTAGCCCAGCATCATCTTTCTAAAACTGCCTCTCTCAGTCATCCCCATGCCAGGAAAGGGAAGAGGCCCCAGAACTCTGTTCCCCTTCACTCACTCAAGGAAGCAAAGCTTCCTGTTCTGTAGCAGTCGGCTCTCTGTGGTCTCCCAGCTAGCCTTCTGGGTCCCTGCGTGGCCTTTGTCAGGTCCTGGGGCTGGAAGGGGTCGGAAGCCCATCCGCCTTCCAGAGGCCCTTCTCATGAGTGTTGACTTCTGGAGGCGTGGCTTAGGGTGTGCAGTGTGGAGGTCCCCTAAAGAAGGAAGAGCCTGCAGGCTGCCAGCTGCATAGCACTGCTGCGCCCAGCCCAGAGAACTGTGTTTGTACTTTCTCAGGAAGTGCACTGTTTCCCTGCTTGGGTGGGAGAGGGGGGTGGGGAGCCAGCCAGGGAGATTGCTTCCAGCTTTGTGCTGGGTGGTGGGAGTGTGCATGGCTGTGAAGGTAGGTGAAGTCAGGCTGACCCCCACATACTCAAGATGTCCCCAGTGGGGGCTACCCTAAGTCTCCAACCTTGAGCAACAGCTGGTGGGAGAGGAGGTATCAGGCTGTGTGCCAGATGGACTGCCCGTCACACAGAATTTGTGTGTCCCCCTTCCTCCCCACTGGGCCCCATGCATAGCTGAGGCACACAGGGATGCCAAGAAAAGGATGTTGACCCCATGGGTATCCAAAAACTTTCGAAGTTTCTACTTCATTTGCCCACCTTGGAAATAGAGTTGGTGTAATTAGCCAGCCCGGAGATCAGAGTTCTGGATCCCTTGGGACCTAAGGTGACTTGCCCACTGTCTGCTCCATATCATTGCATGAACACAGAACGTGTCCATCTATTTTCAGTGGTTCAGAAATACCCTTGCCATATGGAAACACAGCCTACCCGTGAAGAATGCAGACCTAATAGCAGCGGGCAAGAAACAGGAACCTCCCCGCCTCCCTCCAGGTTCCTCCAGAGGAGGCCTCAGTGGCTGGAACCTGGGGGACTTCTTAGGAGTGTTGGAGTGTCAGGGCAAATCCAGGTCCTGGTGTGGAATTGCTCCTGCCAGCAATCCTGTGACTGACTTAGTTTTGAAGTTCCGAAGCTCGCCCTCCTGGGTCCCATTTCCCTTGGGTGGCTTGGCCCAGATGCTCATGGGGACCCTCCAGGATCTGGAGGGCTTTGTGGCCTTGGCCCAGCCCCTGGAATGTAGGGACAAGACCGTCTGCTCTTACACCCACACAGAAAATTCTGTCACCTCTTCTCCCCAGGGTGTGGAGCTGGCAGCTCTATGTCAGTGCCATCAGCCAGCTGCCCAGGCTGAAGGGGCCTCTGAGGACATCTCGGTGCCACTGCAGATAGTCTGTGTGATGCAAAGGCCCCTCTCCCCCTACCCCTTTTCACTAATTCCTCCCTTAGCTTGGAGGGAGGACAAAGGCCTGCCCTTCTCCAGTACCACTGCCTGAAGCCTGCCCCAGCCCCACCTCTCCCTTCTCTTGCCGGGGTTCTGGCACCCCTAGGGTCACGCAGCACTGAGTGGAAACTATTCCTCAGGGCAGCTCTCCTTGGCTTTTTTATCCTCTGAATGCATTTTTCTGCCCATATTTGGTGGTGGTTTGGTTGCTGGGCAGCCATCCAGGGCATTTGCAGGGGGAGCAAAGCCGAGCAGCTTGACTCTGCTTACAGGAGCAAAGCTTTTTTCCTGTCCCCAAGAGTTTGAAAGGGCCCCGGGGACACCATTGGGGATGGATGCTGAACTGCCTGGGAAGGGAGTTAAGGCTCTGTTTTTCCTTTTGGTCCCCAAGAGAAGAATTCTTTCTCAGATGTTTTTGTAGTTGAAAAATATTTTTGCCATTGCTTTGAGAAGACTTCCCTTCCTGACTTCCCCCCTTTTCCTGGGAATTTCCTCCCCTAAATTGAAAGCCTCCAGTGTTCATGCACAACCCTCCCTTCTCCTTCTTCCCCCCAAGAAAAGAAAGAAACAAGAAAACTGTGGTGCTTGCAGGGTTCCCCGAGCTGAGCTCAGCGCCCAGGGGCTTCCCTTAGAGGCCTGCTGGGAGCCCCTGCCGGGAGAGGGGTATCTCGTCTTCATTGTTGTTAGACTCAGGCCAACTGAACTTGTTTTTGCACACAGCTTTCTGCAGAGTTGTGCGTAAACACTGCTCAGTAGGACAGACCAAGGCACTGGGGTAACTGCCCTCTTGCTGAGGACGGGCCCTGAGCTTCAGAAACTGAGCTTGTGTGGCTGTGGGAAGGAGACCGGGCTCTGGGCTGCGTTTCCAAGCTCATCTAGGAAAGGGAGACTTTGGGGAACATGGTGTTGGGGCATTTTTCTAGCCCAACTGAACTCCCAAAAGGTTTCCAGAGGTTTCTGTGGAATGATGATTTTCCTCTTCCCTCTCCCCAGGGTCGAGTTCCAGAATAAATTCTACAGCGGGAACGGTTTTAAGTTCCTACCCTTCTCCTTCGAGCACATTCGGGAAGGGAAGTTTGACGAGTGAGCCCCTCGCGGGACTGTGTGCCCAGCTGCCCTTCCCTCTCCCTCCGCAGTGGTGAGCTGTGTCCCTCTTGCCTGTTGGTTGTGCTCCCTGGATGTGGGGCATAGGGGTCATCCCCATCACCTCTCCCCCAGCTGCCTGCGAATCATTTAAATAGACCCAGACCTCCCTGGGTCCCCATCACCTCCAGTTTTTTGTGTAGTGTAGTGATTTTCTAGACAGCCTCTGGCTGTCACTCATACCCAATGGGCACCAGCATTGCCCTCACCACCTCAGTCCAGCCAAGAGAGCCCCTTCTCCATCCGTCCCCAGGTGGTGAACTAGTTTGTGCATTTACATATGAGCCCACCACCCATGGAGGTAGCTGAGCCCCAGCTCCTGCCACTCCAATTGCTGGTTGGGGGTGGGAGCACTCTTGGGTTAGCAGGAATGGAGCCAGGAAGATGGGGTTTCTGCCCACCTCCCCTTTGGTCTTCAGATCACATGTTAATCAGGGATTCAGCTGGACCCAACTGTGCCAGGGTGCATGGCTTCTCCCCGTCACCCCCAAGGGTCCCAGGGCACCTAGCACCACCTTCCTAACCCCGCCCTCTCCTCCTCCCTCCCAAATCCCTCTCCTTCCTCCACCACCCACCTCACATGCCCCCAGCATAACACAGTGTGGCTGGGAGTGACCCAAAACAGGTGCCGGCTGGCTCCTTTGATTGGCTGCTGCTCAGGCCATGCACGGAGCCTGCCACAAGCACACCCTCTGGGCAGAGGGTTGAAATGGCTGCTGGTCCCTGGGACAGATCCTGAGACCTTTCCCCACCCCCAGTCATGAGTCATGAGTGCGGGACTTCCAGTCATCAAGGGAGGGCCAGCCCTGCTGTGCTCTCCAGTGCCCCTAGGCACTTCCACACGGACCCCAAGTCAAGGGAGTGGGGTCCTGAGCAGGAAGGTCCAGGTCATAGTTTGCTGATTAGAAGCAACTGTCAGTCACATGTGACTGTGACAGCTGCATGACCCTGCCCTGTGGGATGTGAGCACCCCTGAAGCCCCCCTCCCCTGTTACCCCACACCAGGCTATGTGAATCTTAGGGCCTTTTAATGATGTGTTGGTGCCGCAGCCCTGACTGCTTCAGCTAAATTGAGCCCCACTATCTTCAGCAGTCAAGATAATGCCCTGAATTGCTAGGCCCTTGCCCTCCCCTGACCCTGGCTTTTCCGACTGAGTTACTTAGAGTTGCTCACTGGACTTGCTCCCAGGCTGGGCTGGCCCCAGGCATGGGCCACCTGCCCCAGTTTCCCTGTGCACTGGCCAGTGTGACCTGACCTAGAGCTGTGCAGAACCCCCTCCCCGCTGTTCCCCATGGTTTACATGATGAACTTTGCTCCGTTTACAGTGGGACTTGAAGCAGAGTTCTTTGTCGGGAACCCTGCCAAGGCCCTACTGTTCAGACATTCCTGTGCTGAATAAAGTGTGTTTGACTCTACCAAGCGGCTGCCCGTCTGTGCCCACAGTCCCTGTGTCACACCCCCACCACCTCCCTCCAGCATTTCTGCTCTTCTCTGTGTTCAAAGGCCACAGCGGCAGTGGCCCTGGCCAGGCAGTTAGTCTGTGGAATTCTCACCTTATCTCAAGTTCCCCAGGTTCCCTCCCACTCCCAAGGCAACCTTGCAGACACTACACACAAGGTGGGGAGGGAACTTGAGGGCCCATCTCTCCCCTCCCCTCACACACCCAAACAGCTAGGGCCCACTCCTGTTCCTCTCCACGCCAGGGAGGGCTTAGCAGCTGGGCTGTTTTGAGCCCTGATGCCCTTGGCCTTGATGTAAGTGGAGGCTCAGTGCGGGGTTCCTCAGGGCAGCTGGAGAATGTGAGGTGCTGAGGCAGGAGGCAGCAGGGGAGCATGCAGACTGACCCAGCAAGTGGGCCGAGCAGGAGGGCGCCTTCTCCCGCTAACTGCCATGGAAAGCAGCTGCTCTTCCGGCACCCTGCCTCTCCACCCACCCTCCTGAAGCCTCCAGGGCAGGGGCTGCGCAGGCGCGTGAGCTGCAGGGTGACAGGCTGCTGGAGGAGGGGCTGGAATGTCCTGCCTGGTTCATGTTCCTATCCCGCCTCGGTCCCTCCCTGACAGGCCACCTGCCTGGGAAAAGGTCCTTGGGGCAACACCTCCCGCCTCCACCTGACTTCTCAAAAAGTCCAGAGTGAAAATTTGGGTAAAGGAGCTCTTTTAGCTTCAGCTCTGCTACTGACTCAAGGGAGGCCTACTAAGAGTAGATATTTTGAGTCAATGGAATAGAGTGGATTGAGTCTAGAAATAAACTCTAATGTTTATGGTCAATTGATTTTCCACAAAGGGGCCAAGTTAATTCAATGGGGAAAGAAAGAAAAGTTTTCAACAAATGGTATTCATATGTGACCGAACAAATTTGGGCTGTGACCCCACACTGTATATGAAAATCACTCAACAATGGGTCACAGACTTCAATGTAAGAGTTAAAACTAAAGCTTAGGGGAAACTATAGGAGCACATCCTCATGACCTTGAGTTAGGCAGTGAGTTAGACATAGAATTATAAAATAGCAGAAGTACAAGCTACAAAATTA